TCCAGATAATAGAGTTTTCTATTGCCAAAAATATGCAAAACTCTCTTGGCAAAGTACATGTATACTTTGGCTGGAGTTTTACTCAGTCCCTCAGTAGTATAATAGAGGGCTTTAAACATCGTTACTTGGGATAAGAGCGGTTTTACTTGCAGCTTATAAACATATTAAAGTGGCTTAAGGCTTTTAGTGCTCCTCATCATTAGCTGAACTTGCTCTGAAATATGATCTTTTTTCTTCTTTTTTTGATCAGTTCTAACCAAAACTCAGCCAAAAAATAAGTTCTGCTGCAGATGGTGACTGAGCTCAAACGATGAAAGTGGAGGGCTGTCCTCTTCTCAGCAGACTTCCTCATCTTTTCTGACCAGGAAGGTCATTTCACTACAAACCAAAGGAAATATTTCTTGTGGAGATGCAGAGAAAGAAAACAGTCATTTGTTAATAGCCAGCTGCAATCTGTAGCACAGGAAAAGGGTTGTGGCCATTTTTAACCAGTGCAACAGCCTTCATTGGGCTGTAAGTGCTGCTCTTGTTCAACAAGCAAAAATGTAAAACCCGTATTCCTAATGAGATCAGCAAAACAACACGATGTAAAACATTGTTACAATAATTACTTATTCTGATTACTAACGTATGCTTTTGAGATGGCTGAGCTTGGTGTTTTCTTCTACCAGCGGGTGAAATGCAGCTTTGCAGTCCCGTTGAATTCAGGCAGCCAAATTCTGTCCTGGGGTACGAACACAGGCTCTCCCTGCGGTGCTGACAAAGAGTGCATTTTTTTATTTGAGGGTGGTTGTACCCATAATGTCTTTTCAGCTTCATCTACATAGAATGTGATTTGTTGATCTTCAGTTTTTTTGTTTCACTTTTAGTGCAGCAGCAATTGCTCTGGATGAATTTCAAGAAGGCAGTCCTGTGCTGCTTGAATAAATGATGCGTTACAGGGAAGGGGTATTCACGCTTCTGCATAACAGTGTGTTGTTGCTTTTGTGCTCGGATAATCAGAAAATGGTTCTCTTTGCTGTGTTCAAGGGTACTGAATTAAAAATTGTAAGTTTTCTGTTAGGAAAATTGATTCAGAAACACTTTAAATGGATGGAAAACAGCATGTTGTTGCAGGTGGTCAGAAATGTAGTATGGGTTATTAAAGAGCAGTCGTACATCTGGCTTCCTTAGATGTCTTCGGATCCTTGGCTACTTCACTTCTGAAAAAAGCACAGTAGTATGAAGGCCTTGGGAAAAGTACATATTACAAAACATTTTGTAGTGAAAATAATAACAAATTTCTTTCGGAGATTTTGACTACTCAGTATAGCTATACATAAAGGCAGAAGGGTTGTGAGGCAAGGGATACAATATCTTAGAAGTTGTGCAAGATTCACAGCAGTGAATTAATCTGTTTTGGAAGACTTCAAATTAATTCCCTATTCAGCACTTCAAATACTTCTGGATAGAAATAATTTCTGAATAAGAAGCTGAGATCACAACTTCAGTAGTTTTGTTTGGTGATTTTTTTAATATAATTTGTTTCCTAGTTCTCAGAGGTGCCCAGCAGCCTGAATTTTGTCACTTGGGAATGATGCTCTGGATGCTCTGTTGTGATGTGTTCTGGGCTCAGCCTTTCATTGCTCTCGCAGACGGGATTACTCCAATAATCCAGCTGTCTGGATGCTTTACCTCCGACCCTGTGTGCTGCTCAGTGCTCTTGGATGCTAAAAGCATAATAAGGATTATGAGGGTAGCAGATGGATAGAATTGATTGATAGCAATACGGCCTTGCCAGTGTTTGCAATTTCATTACGACTTTTGCAGCAAATAATGCGCATCTTCAACTCCCAGCTCCCAGAGCTGGGCAGGAACTCAGTTGGTGCAGGGCTTTCGGTTAACAAAGGGAACCGCTTCAGTTAACCTTTTACATTGCTGACCTCACCAAGAGGAACGTTTTGCAAGGAGGATAGAGCTGACTTTGTCCACTGCAGGCTTAGTGAGGAGTGAGGCTGCATAGCAGCATCTCCCACCCTGAGCAGCCAGGGGCTGCGTGTCAGTAATGTGAGGACGAGCCAGGGTGGGAGCTGTGTGCGTACGAGAGGCGAATGGCCCCACGAAATGCCGAAGCCAAACACCATCTTCACATTGGGTTTGCAGTTTTCGGTGAGTTAGTAAAACTGCAGTGGGATGATTTGCCAAGTGGTGTTATTGAGTGTGTAAATTCAATGATTCTATAACAGAAAGAGGAGAAGAAATTTTAAAAGCTGTGCGTGGCAGTCCTGCACGCCTCTTACGGCCTGTATTTTGTAACGTAACAGAAATCCTTCAATTTGGGCACTGCTCTAAGAGATGCTCTGTGCACAACTGTCTTCCTGACCTCTAATCTGCACGTTTGCTTTTCCCAGTGCCCCACAAGCATGTCCTTCCTTCTTTGGCTTGATTAGATGCTAAAATATTCTGTTTCTGCTGTGGGAGGATAAAGTGTGCAACTGAAGTACCCTGAAATCTGGAAATGCAAACCAGACAGCTGAAACCAGGGCCATTCCCAAAACTAGGAGTGCATGGGAATGACCCTTCTTGCTAATTCCGTCCCTCTGTGAGAGGCTGGGGGGCTGCAGCTTCTCCTTTCAACATTAGTTTTCTCCCAGGTGAGGTAGCTCCTGACAGCCCCCAGCTGCCCACCACCAGCCTGCGGAGTTGGGCAGAAGCTTGTAAGCCAGGGTACTCTGGCAGTGACTGTGTGCATGCTGGGGTCAGACAAAGTACAAGCTGTGCAGCAAGTCTGGGGGAGCTCAGGGGCTTGCAGGAGTATTGGATTGGATTCACAGGGAGGGACCATGCCCACATCCAGCAGGTAGCCAACAGAGCGGGGATGTGCAGGCTGCCCCGCGGGCTTGCAGCACAGCACAATTAGGTTGCTGGGAACAGCAGTCCTCTGCAGCTTCTGAGCCTGAAAGCATTACATGTTGTCTGTCAACTTCTCTTTTTATTTTAGGGCTACCAGGCAGTTCATATTTGCATGCTCTATAAAGCTTTTAAAAACAGTTTTGCAGCTTGCTTAACGTACAGAACTTACAAGCAGCTATAAAATTAAACAGTAGCTGTGAGCGCGGTGAGTCCTGTGCAGTGCAGATGCTGGTGGCACAGTACGGGGTCACTCTGCATTCCCAGGCAGTGACAGCAGTGTGCATGCTGTGCTGATGTGGGATCATCTGTTTGCTAAGCCCCTTGCACTCCATGGGGCTTCTGAGCAGCTTTGAGGGGCCCTCAGCACCCTGCGTGCTGGGATTCCCCCAGCCTCCCTCTTGTTTTGGCAGTACTTCCACCCCGACTTTCATCTGTGGTCAGGTTTATAGGAAACCTTACTATAATTGTGATTCAGAGGTAGGGATGGAAGCCATGCAGGAAAACAAAAGGCACCTCAGTGCAGAAGCATGCTGGTGTCAGCTTGTGCTGACAGCGAGTCTCGTCATTACATAACGATGCACTTATCCAAACGGCATTTTGTATTTTTGGAGACAGATGTGCCTTGCAGTTGCTGGTGGAAGTGAAATGTTAAACACGAAACCCATTCATTTTCTCTTAGTCATACTTTGGATTTAAGCAGATGTTTTCCTAATTTGTGGTTTTCAAATGTAGCATGCTGACAAGACATTTATCATTAGCTACAACTTCATCCATGCAGTTCAGCAAATTGGCTGATTATTAACAGTGAGCGCTGCATGGCGGTTGATGTGTAGCCCCTGCTGCTTTGAAAGACCTAAATCAAAACTCTAAATACAGTTTTACAGTGTAAATTAATTGAGTTTTGGACTGCATCCCTTCTACTCTGTGCTCTCTGCTCTCATTTTCAGGGCCAGCAGCCGTCTGTAATGTGTTGAGTTGTTGTACCATCTGTGAGCAAAGGCTCCTGTGGGTGGAAGAAGTGATGGCTAACATTTTTCTGATGGGGGCATGAAAATGGCTGCTGATATCCAGCGTGACATGCAGAAAGAGCACGGCCGTGGGATGGTGTATGTACACACGCACCAGGCTGGCTCTGCCATTGGTGATGCTGGATGTAGAAGGATGCAGGGGGCAGGAAAAGCAGGGTGGGCACAGCATTGCCTGATATTTTCCTTTATAACATTTCACTTGCTTATATAGATTTGTTAGACTTAACAAATTTAGGATTTTTTTCCCCCCATTTAATGTTTGCAGTGTTTCATATGATGAGAGCGGCGGTTGTGGTGTGAGCAGAGGAGATCTCCCAAAGGTGCTTTCCAATGCCAGGACCCACCATACACCTCGATGTGTCATCTCCTATATTCTTAGTTTTGGAATTCAAGCAGGCAATTAGTTTCTGTGTATTTACCCCACATGTTAGACTTAATGGAGAACACTCAATACACCTGTAATTTCTAGATACTATGAAGACCCCAATTTTCAGCAGCTTACGCTGCAGAAATTTTGCTTTACGTTCCAGTTGTGAAGTTCTTACCAGGTTGGTTTTACAATTCCATCTGATGTCCCTTTCTTCACTCCCTCCTGCTCTGTAAGAAAAGGTGCTGCTGGTCCCACCAAACGTAACGTAACAGCACAGCGTGTGCCAGAGCAGGAAGGGCAAAGGTTGCATAGAACAATGGAAAAACATTGTTCCATTGTTGGAAAAACAAAGATTTGCTCTTGTGTTGCCTCTTCTCCTGGTCTGCTGTATGAGTATGAATTATATGGGAACTTGAAGGCTGAAGGCCTGATCCGGGGGATCTGTGAGGGATGAAATGAGAATTTTCAAGAGAGGCCTTTGATGCGCTTGTCTCGCTCATAACTTTTTGATTGAAAATGGTATATATAGCAGCAGAGTTTTAAGCGAAGGTGTTGGATTATGACTGCGTTGCTGACCACCACCTTGTTCCCTCTGTGTTTAGATGAGTAAATTATCACATTGATGGCTTGTCTCATGCTGGGCTGTAGCAGGAGGTGAGCGCAGTCAGATTTTGAGTGAATTCAGCTAACCCGATCCCGATCCTTTGCAGTGCTGCCAAGCTCCTGGAGAAGAGCCCGTTCTCCGTCAGTGCCCCGAGCCCCCTGCTCCCCTCTCCGGCCAGCCTGCAGCTGGCCCAGCTCCAGGCACAGCTCACACTGCACAGGCTGAAGTTGGCTCAGACCGCCGTCACCAACAACCCTGCTGCCGCCACAGTCCTCAACCAGGTGCTCTCCAAAGTGGCCATGTCCCAGCCGCTCTTCAACCAGCTGAGGCACCCCTCTGTGATGGGTGCTTCTCCGGGACACTCTGCAGGTGGCCCTCCGCCAGGGCCTGCCATTGCTAGCACAAGGTTCTCCTCTGGCGGCATCGCCTTTCCCGCACAGAGCGCAGGGGGCAGCCTGGGGCCCATGCAGGCCCAGGCCCCCAACGCCATCGTCATGAGTCCCTTTGGAGGCGTCATGGCTCCCACCTCCAGCCAGCAGCCCGTGGTCGTTGGACTCAACAAGGTGGGCCCCTCCGCCGCTGCTGCCGCTGGGGGCTTTTATGAGTACAGCAAGCAAAATGTCAGCGCCCCACAGGGCTACGCCTCGGAAGGGGATCAGTCCGGCTTCCCTTCGGCAGTTGGGGCTCGCTACGAGGGGCCCTTTGGCCCCGCCGGCCCGCTGAAGCACGACTCTCCAGCAGGGTTCCAGAAAGATGCCTATGGGGCAGCGCCTGCCTTCCCCGGCGACCCACACACCGGTGCTCATCCAAAAGGAGATCCCAGCCCCATCTTACATGGCACAGGTACAAGCAACCAGTGGGAAAATATCCCCAATTTCTCCAGCCAAAACAAGTCTGACCTCCTGCCCAGTGACAGCATGTGGCCATCAGCAAGCCAGCAGCCGTATGAAATAAGAAACGAGCTGTACAACCCCGAAGAACCGACACCTGACACAAAGTTTAGCACGGCCGCTGCCCCGGCATTCGGCAGGCTCAACAATAGCAAGCAGAGCTTCGGCAGCCCCCGGCTGAGGCAGAATGAGGAGCTGAGCGCCGGCGCGCCCGACCTGCCCATGAGGTCACTGCAGCCCCACGAGCTGAACGACCTTCATGGTGTGGCTCCCCTCCACTTCCCCCATGTCTGCTCCCTCTGTGACAAGAAGATCTTTGATCTGAAGGTGAGTGATTTCAATGCGCCCAGGCGCATCTGTGGTGTTCAAAGGGGTTTCCCTGTCCGTCAGTTGATTTGTCTGTCTGCCTGTCCTAGCATAGTCTGTCAGCCAGGTCAGCCTCTATCACAGAGAGATACACAGTTTCGTAGGGCTTGTAGCGCTGTAAATCTCTTCTGTGGAAACTGCTGGGATTTCAAGATCTGTTTTTGTTCCGCATTGCGCTGTGGAAGTGTGGAGAGCAGTGTGTGTGCGCAGCAATCTGCCGCTGGGAGGCTGTGGTCCTGGTGTGAGAAATGCCAGACCCAGGCACGCGTCATTCCCTTCTCTGATGGGGGTGAATCAGGGGGAGGAGGAGCTTGAACCTGATCTGCCCTCCTCCAGCCAGTATTGTAATTGCACATCTGCAGTTTCATTTGGCTGTCTCTGTTTCTGATCCCAAAGCCTTCCTGATAGAAGCTTTGCGGAAAGTCACTTCAACAAAATAGCACTTTTCCATAAAATGACTTTGATAATTTCTTTGTTGGGTTGTCCTCCATCTTCCAGTAACTCAGAAAAAAGAATTAGAACTCATTGTCCCAGTGGCTTTGGCCTGGAAGAAAGATGCTACCCAGCATGAGGGGTGCAGACCAGGCTCCCAGATCTTATCTGTTGTGGGCCCTAACAGCTTTTCTTGACCACATTCATACTGTCAAAAGACCCTGAAATTCAAAATCAGCCTTGAGCAGAAACTTGCCTGTTGTACAGAGATCCTGTGTTGCAAGATCATGGTATATAAGTCAGCTCTGGAGAAAGGCACTGCCATCCACAGGCCTTGCCTGGGGTTGTTCTGCCCCCTAGGTGAGCTCTGTCCCACTGGTCCTTGTGGCCTTTTCCATCACATTGCAGGACCAGCACCTCACTGCAAAGGCATGTGTTTTCATGCCAGTGGTGGCCTGACAAAAATATTGCAACAGCATGAGTGTACAAAGGAAGGTAGCCAGCAACTGAAATAATACCTGATACATACATGCCCTGTGGCTTTGGGAGATTTGAATGTATTTGCTCTTTCATGTTTCCCTTTTATTCTTTGAGCAGCTGCTTGCTAGAGGCTTTTCTATGGCTGCTGCAACTACAGGAGTGGTCTGAACTCACCCCCACCTCGGGCATGCTGGGCATGTGTGTTTTTCATTAAACGTTTTATAAGAATGGTGTAATTGTAATTACAGTGAGCTTCAGTTGGTCTGTTTATTAGTATTTAATATGCTGTCCTATTTGGCCCATAGAAATGTAAAAAGCTGAATGCACTTCTCTTACAAATGTGTTTATTTACTGAAGTGAATGATCACCGTCTTTGCTGCCGTGTGTGATGAGCACCCTTGTTATGGACATTGCAGGAGCTGAGGATGCTCAGAGCCTTTCAGCATGAGCTTTTCCAAAAAAAATTACCTGATTTAAGAGAAATAAACATGTAGAATTTAAAAGCTAATACAGAGAAGTTATCTCTGTGTTATGTAACTGGTAACTGAGTCCACAAATAACAAATCAGTAAATGCTTTGGAGAAAAGTATGCTTGGCTCCAGTATCATACAGTTAGATCTTCAGCATGAAGTATTAGCTTCAGAATAAGGTAAACTGAACAGAGAAACAGTCTTTCAGAAATTTGTCTTAGGATTTTTCCTGTGCTCATCGTCTCTTTGTTTCAACATAGGACTGGGATCAGCACGTAAAGGGAACTCTACACATCCAAAAATGTATGGCTTTTTCAGATAAGTAAGTATTATTTCAGAGATGCTTTTCCAATTGAATTTCTAATAAAGCATCCCTTACTTCAGTGGCTTTATACCAGGAATTTACAATCTAATAATTAGACTTTGATATTTGCAACATGCCATGCATGCTCCTAAAGTTGTTTCTTTCTTTTCCAGCACTGGTATCCGGTGTGTGTTAAGTTCAGCAGATGGAACATTGCATTTATCACCAAATAATGCAGCAGTTTTCAATCCATCTAGTATTGAAGGTGAATGGTTGCATGTACAATAATTAAAAAACTATTTTTAATGAAAGGGGATTTCAGTCTTTGGGCAGAACTGGGCATTTCAAATGACATATGATACAGATTTCCAGGGAAAATAGTGCATTGTATGCAGTAAGACTTAAAAGGCAACCTGCCTTTCAAAGTGGGAATTTATTTTTCTTTCCAACAAGTAGTTGTTTCCACAGTACAATGAAGCAATGGTGTTGAAATGATGAAATTAATTGTTGCATAAATGGGGCATTGCTTACTGAGTCACGTTAATAATATGAATCAAGATTTTCACAAAATTGTGTGGTCCATTATTTAGATTATCCACCAAATGTCGGCTCGTCTTTTATCACTACGTCAGCAAGATCCTTTGGCCAGCCAGGTGCTACATTTCCTTCTCTTCCATCAGGGGTAAGAGTGAGTATTTAAGAAATTGGTTTCCTCGCAGAGATTCTTGCAGAAACCTCTTCTACTTACTGGAATTAAAAATCTGTCATTTTAAGGCTTCCTTTTAGGCAATGATGGGAACGCGCAGTCCATCATTTAAATTTACCTGCAGCTCCTTTATGCTTTTGATTTTGATCAAAACAAATGTAGATGTAGTTCTTTTGGTGTTTTTTTGTTTGTTTGTTTGTTTGTTCTTGTTTGGTTTTTTTTTGTTTTGTTTTTGTTTTTGGTTTTGTTTTTTTTTCTGTGCTGAAATTGTTTGCTTGTTAGAGGGATTTGAAGAGGCTGGCAGGTTGTTCTGTGTGTATCTCCCCCATATTCTATGGCTTGTATTCTTGTATTGCGTGGCTTTCCCCCCCCCATGTTCTGAGCCTTATTGAAGCAGGAAAATCAGCTGAAAAACTGGATTAAGTTCTACTTACTCTAAGTATTGATCCCAGTGAGAGGCCTGCATCTCTTCAGTTATTTATCTGTAGCAATCACTCTCTGCTGGGGGCCTCCTCCCAGGTAGCAGTGGTGGAAAGACAGTGGCTGCAGCTCCTCTAATGCTTATTTGCTTGGGCGTCTCAGTTTGATTAATTATACTGGACTAGCTTTTTCTTAGTTTATTTTCGTGTACTATTTATATTGCCTGCTGCCACTGGTAACCTTTCAACAAGTTTGCTTCAGTATACATAAACCTTCTGTGGTTTCAGTTTATTATCCTCCCAGTACTCAGGACAGGTTCCAGTTGTGTTCCTCTAGTGTGCACTTGAATTACCATCCCACTCAGCAAAAAATGTCACACATAAAAAAATCTTACATTATATATGGCTTTTAAACTGGGGAAACAAAGGGTTTTAAAAGAAGGGGAAAAAAGCAAGAAACTGCAAATCATATGCAAGCTATTATTAGAGTTGGAAACATCGAGGAGTAATGCTAGGTTGTTCATAGAATAGCAGCAGTAATCCGGGGGTTCAAGTTTTCACCTTGTTAGCTTTTATGTCCACATCCTGATGTCGGCTCAGGCACTCCAGAAGGACAGGCTGAGCTGCGTCCCTGTGCCGCTCCAGTTCACACCGGCATTGCTTACAAAAACATCACCCAGATTTGTGTAATCCAATCAATTTTGTGCTGTGGGGTTTTGCTATGGCAGGGGTTGTTGGAAGGGATTTTGGCTTCTGCCTGTCACAGACACCACGTGTGCAGGGCAGCAAAGAGCAGAGCTGCTTGCGATGGCTGCCTCCAAGGTCAAAGGTTGGAGTCGCGGCGGCTGTGGAGGAATGTTCCTTTTCATCATGTCTGTCAACCTCACAACAAATGAAATTACTGCTAATACCAGTATCGTTTCTCCTCAGAATCTGTCACTATTTGTCATCTAAGCTGCCTGCAGAAGTCCTTTTGAATGACCTGCGGTGCTAAGAGAGATAAAAGAACCAATAACTTTGGCTTTCCTGGACACTACAAATCCCCTTTTTCTTCAGAAGCTCAGGAGGTGGTCAGGGAGCTATATTAGAGGTGTTAAATTAGAGTTTACCCGCTGTCATTCCCCCCCACAACCCAGGTGGTTTATAATTTATTACACCGTTGCACAGCAGTATTCACTTTCAGCTAAGCTGCTGCCATTTAACTGAGCAGTGGGAGATTATACTTGACCCTGCATGTAATCATAAACAAAGTGTTCAGATTTCTCAGAGAGCTTGATACATGCTCTCTGTCTGCAAATAACTCAGTCCTTCTTCTAAAGGCAAATAGAGCACTGCAAGCCTTCCCTCAGACATGGAAAGCCACTGGCAGTGAAGGAATGGGACTGCTGGTTTCTTAGTATCTTTAGGAAAGAGTTATGAAAAGCTCAAGAAATGGATAAAGGATTTGAAAAGTAAGAGATCCCAAAAAAATGGGGAGGAGAAAAAGATGCAATTAAAAATATCTTAGTTAGGTTGATGAAAGCATATGGCAAACTGCATGAGATGCCCTTCACTGTTATGCAGCAAATAATTTATTCAACCATTTATTTTTTGAACAAACTGTTTTTCTAACAGTTGTCCAACTGCGCTGGTAGATCCCTGTAGACATTAAAGAAAGTTAACGTGAAGTCTTACTGAAAATCGCATTCTGCTCTGGACACACCATGGCTCCTGAATGTGGATATAGAAGTTGTATATTCCTTTTCTGGCTGTGTTTTGCATTTAGTGAATGAATCCAATTTAACTTCAATCAGCTGACAAGGATATTGTCTGGTACAGCTCATCTGATCCCAGTATGAGTGTCTGACCACTTTTTAGTCGTGAATTATAGCAGATTTATGACGTGACATTTCAATTCAAGCCATTGCCAATTTTGGGGAGGTGGTAACGTCTTAGAGTCATCTGATTTAATGTACTGCTGAGTTCATGTCTGAGCCTGGGCCCTGGAGCCTAGGGAGGGAACAGCTGCCTTTCTAGTCCTATATGTGCTTAACACACCATCTCTTAACAGGTCTGACAAAACAAACAGAAGGTGCCAGGTGACATGAGGTGTTCTTGTGCTGTCAGGAAGGTTTCCTTTTTCCCTGCCAGCTGCATGTTGTGTTCTCCTGTTGTGTGCTACATGCTGCCTTGCCAGATGCACTCAGCCATCACTGCTTTTCTATTCAGGTGGAGCTGAGTCGCTCCCATCTTTCTCCAGGGTGAGGTTTTTGTTATTTTTGTGATAGAGAAAACACTTTCCTTTTGGACTGTGACACTTGTTTGATTTGCTTTATGCACCTGGGCAGTCTCTGTGAACTGAATAGCAGACTGCTGTGGGAGGCAGGCTCGTACTGCAGCAAAAACACACCAGCAGTTACAGGATAAAGTCTGGAGGGAAGGTAATGGGATGAAGGTGCAAATAAGATAACATTAGCTCTGTAACTTGTGAACTTGCTGACAAGCCAAACATTTGTGATGGCTCTGGTGAATTTGATCCCATGAGATTACATGATTTGCATCTTTCCTTGAATGGCACAATTTTAAGTGAAGGTAGAGTTACTTCTTCAATAAAACCCTAACAGCGGAAGTCATAAACAGGGAAGTATTCTGGGAAGACTTAATCCTGTGTGAGCAAGGTTTGCATGTCATTAGCTGAAGTAAATTATATTTCTCTCTCAGCATACTCTGATGTCTGTTTGCATGAGGAGGGCAGAGACTGCTTTCCACATCAGGGAGATGGGCAGCTCTTTGGGAACTGCCCCAGACCCCAGAATAGACTTCCACCTTTGGGAAGTGACTGCTGCACCAACAGCATGTGCCTGTGCCAGTCCAGTTTGGGATCTCTGCCTCTGTGCATGCCCCTGTGGTCAGCATGCTCTCAAGAGAAATGTGTCTCTGACTACGTGGTGTTGCAAAGAGAGAGGAAAGCAGCAGGTATTTCAACCTCAGGTACAGCTGGGGTGTCCTCTTGCAGAATGAATGCTGTTTTTTGTACGCCCGGCCCAATCTGTTCCATGAGAGCATGAAGAGGGTTCAGATTCAATCCCTGCTATCCTGAACACCTCTATAGTCGTTTAGACTGTTTTTTAACATCCATAAATCCTGCAGGGACTGCAGTGAACATCTGCTTGAAAATACTCTTCTTTATTCATGAGTGTATGCATTTCTGGCAAAGTATTTGTTAAGGGTGTTTTACTCACTAATATGTGGTGCCCTCATGTGTGGGGAAGGCGCAAGGCCATCAGTGGGACAGGCAGATGCAGAAGGACAGAGTGAAGGCTGCGTGACTTGGCAGAAGAGCCTTAGAGCTGGCTGGTGTACCAGACAGATACCGTGCCTGCAGTGAGCTTACTGGCACCTCCCCATTGCAGAAACACCTCTGAGCACTGAGGGGTCTCCAAACTCCCTCTGATGCTGAGTGCCCAGCTCTCTGTTGGAACGTGCCAGGGCCCTGAAGTCCCTTACTCTCTTAGATTTGACATGGCAAGTTACCTTCTGCAGCCATATCACTATTCCTGTTTGAACTAGAGCATGTCTCCTAGTAATCCTCTCCTGGTAATCTAGGGATGGGGACTCCACTGCAAGCCACAGTTCAGTTAAAAATGTGAATAGGAAAGAAAATTTTTAATCAGGATGTTTTTGATTAAGGATATTTGTCCTTAAAAGCAGGTGTGTAGAACAGATCATTTCAGTTTCTTTTTCTTTTGCAGAAATGTAAGCTCTTATCTAGAGGTTGGAATATTTAAGATAAAACATGGTTTTGAGTTGGACTTTTTTTCCAGTTTCCCCAGAGGAAATCTACATTGGGTCGAGTTGTTCACATCTGCAACCTCCCCGAGGGAAGCTGCACAGAAAACGATGTCATTAACCTGGGCCTTCCGTTTGGGAAGGTCACCAACTATATCCTCATGAAATCCACTAATCAGGTACTGTGCTTTTGGAGCCACCAGTGTTGATGTAAGTAGGCAGAAAGGCATATTGAGATGCTCAGTGAGACAGTGCCCGTGCCTTTTAACCTGCATCACACTGTAGCAGAACTCTGTCTTCAGGGTTATGTCTACCAGTGGTGGTAGGCATGGTAGACTGGAAAATCTCTCATGTATCCATGGCAGACAGTGCAGAGGGAAGTAGAATCCACACCAGTGAGCAATGTTAACATTTCAAAATGCAGTCAGTACACAGTTTTGTTTTTCCCTTGAACAGTTAAACCATAGTTACATCAAGTGGCATTTTTCATGCAAGTAGAAATGCTAGTGAATATAGTTGTTTTATTAGTAGTAGTTCTTTGCTTTGTTCTGGCTGCTCACATTCTATTTCTCCTGTAGAAGCCCCAGTGAGGAAGTGAGAAAAAGGTGGGTTTTGTATATCAGGAAAGATTGGATTCTAGTTATTTGGTTTTTTAACCACCTACTAAAGCTGCACATCAGGTTTCATAGCTGGACTGTAACCATTATTTTTAGTTAACAAGAGGCTGAGCAATCACCTTAGTATCCCTATTTCTCTGATACTTTGTTTTGTAATGATGTGGTGGATTTTAAAGCTCTCCCCATCTGTGCTAGGCCTTTCTGGAAATGGCTTACAGTGAAGCAGCACAAGCCATGGTGCAGTACTACAAAGAAAAACCCGCTATGATAAACGATGACAAGTTACTTATTAGGATGTCTAAAAGATACAAGGAGTTGCAGCTGAAGGTAAGATCAGATTCCTGATAAGAATTCATGAGTTTCTATACCTTGTCCATGAGAATACATCTAAATGTCTTTCTGATTGCTGTTTTCTAGTTCATGTTTTAATACTGTGGGAAAAGAAATGAAGAAAGATAAACTAATGAATGTATGTTAATGATCTTTTATACTTAATTTTAATTCTTAGATGAGATCCCATTCTCTGGTTCTCTCATTGCACTACTTCAAAAATCCCTTCTAAGCTTCTTCTCCAGTAAGCTGCTTGGTTGAACTAAGGCTGACCTAAACAGCCCATGCTGCTCAGTTAAACAATGTGTAAGATAACACATGTCAGCAAAAATAAGGGAGTGCCATCCTTTTGGACAAGCATTGAGCCTAGGGCACTGCTTTTCTCTGCTTGCACACTCAGGACATAATACAGTCTACGCTGAGCAGCGATGGCAGGACTAAGCATCATGCTGATTAGCTTTCTTTTCTTGACAGTGACCTAACCTAATATATATATATATGTATGTATGTGTGTATGTATATATATATGTATGCACATGGAATCAGAACAGATCAATATTTGTTCTTCAGACTTCCTGTAGACTTTATCTGACACTTCTGATGTGGACATCTGAGTGATCTCCAAAAACCAGTACTCCTGAGAGCATATTTATGGCAGCTTCTGTTCTGCTGTATGTAATGCTAAAGGAATAGGCTTTCTGCATGTAGTCTTGGACTGGAACCAGCAGCGAAGAGCTGAGAAGCCTTATATTATCCCAACACAGCACAATAATTCTATAAAATAACTTTGTAGTGTTCCAAGTTAAGAGGCATTTTATGAGCATTAAGGGAAGACAAGTAAGAGGAGACTTTAAGGAATTGCTACTTCATGAATCAGGCTATTCTTTCTTACCATGGTACTGAGGTACTGCAGAGTAAGGTGGTTGAGACTGCACATCTTAACATGAAGGCTGAGCTGGGCTTACTCAGGAGAGTGGGATTTCAGGAAGATTTTCAGCAGTTCCATTGGCAGTTTCTCAGATCATGGAATTGGTTTTGTCTTCACGAGCAAAAACTCTTTCTCATTGTTAAAGACAAACAAATGAACAAAAGTACAGTGATATGAGAGGGGAACATGCATGAGTTACCACTCTGAAGTGCTCTGAGTTCCTGCATGGTTACGTTGCTCAGTTGTGCATGCTCCATTTGGCTGATGGATTGCACACACTCCAGCCTGGAGTCCTGCATCTTTTGGAGGTGATCTTGAACCTCAAGTAATCAACAGTTCTCGCACTCATTTTTCTTGCACTTAGCTTTTCTGTAACTCCTATGTCTGAACATAGTCTTTTAGAGCTGTATTGTAGTATGGAGTTAAGGCAGCTCCTCCCTAGCGTAAGAAACAATAGGCTGATGCATCTATTTAGTTCAAGCATTAGAAAAAGGGTTTGACTTCTGTCATCTTATATCCAGTTATATACTCTGCAGTGAGTGTGTATCAAGGAAGTACAAGCTGCTTTTTGAAGCCAAGTTTCCAGAAGCCAGTTATGAGCAGACAGCGCTACAAGCAAATTTTCCATTTCTATCATTTTACTGCTTTGATCATGCTATTGAGATACCAGTTGCAGAAAAGACTATAACCAGAACACTGAAACCAAATATTTCTCATCAGTGTAATGAAATGATGCATGCATGCTGTTTCTTAAAGGGCAGATCTTGTATAATGGCTTGGAGAGCAGTGCAGCATGCTAACAGTGTCCTTGTCTGATATAGAAACCAGGTAAGAACGTGGCTGCTATCATCCAGGACATCCACTCACAGAGGGAGAGGGACCTGCTGCGTGAGGCAGACAGGTAAAGTGTAATGAGCATAGTCTGTGTGCTTCCTTTTTGTATCTCATTGCCCTTCTGATGTTGGATTGCTTTCCAAATCACTGTAAAAAATGTAAGTTGGTACAATAGTAAGCGCAGAACCTATGTAATGAGTTCAGATGGAAAAACTGTACTTGTTAAGAAGACAAATGATCTCATTACTACTGATGATGATGACTCAGAAAATATGCCTGACACGTGAGGAACACACAAATGAAGCCATTTCCCTTTCCACCCTCCGTGGTGAAAAGCATAAAGGCTGGAGCTGTGGTAACACTGGAGAGGAGGAAATGTGTTTGGTATATTTCTGATTTGTCTGGCTTCGTTAGTACTTTCTGGACCTCCCAGCAAAGCGGGAGAAGAATCAGAGCCTTAAAACATCTATTTTAAATTGTTTATCATTTTCACTTTTGTCTAGCTAACTAGAGCCTAGCTAATGCTAAGGTTACTGTAAGGGTATTAACATATACACTTTTAATGTTAAACATCTAGGAGACGTTTTTAAGAACAAATGAATATATTCCAGACAGATCTGTGCAGTGCATGTCTGTGACAAACCCTCAGGGGTGCAGGCACCAGGGTAGTGCCAGAGTGTTTGCAGTGCACAGGACCTCTCAGCAGCCTGCTGTTACAGCCAGTTACAGCTGTCTTTTCCCTCTGCAGCAGGTATGGCACAGAGAGGCCCCGCTCTCGCAGCCCCATAAGCCGTTCCTTGTCTCCCCGATCCCACACTCCCAGCTTTACCTCCTGCAGTTCACCCCGCAGCCCGATGGGGACCGGCAGGACCGACTGGGGAAATGGAAGAGAGTCGTGGGATCAGTCCCCATATTCTCGACGGGAAGAAGAAAGAGAAAGCAGAGAATGGCGAGAGAATGGGGATGAGAAGAGAGACAGGACTGACGTATGGGTACACGAGAGGAAACATTATTCCCGACAGCTAGACAAATTTGACTTGGATGAACGGATTGAAGGAGGCAGAGGGCACAGAGAAAAATACGTAAGGAGTGGTTCTCCTGGCTCCCTCCACCCTTTGTCTGGCTACAAGAGCAGGGAAGATGACTATTACCGAAAAGCCTCTAAGTCAAAATCCGACAAATTTCAGAGGCAGGAGTTTTCTGGGAGATCCAAGAGAAAGGAAGAGGCAAAGTTCAGGGAACACAGGCATTCTTACAGTGAGGATGCTGTAAGGGAGGAGACGGCTGAACAGAAGCATAGCAAGGTCTCTGAGAGCTCCAGGCAGAAACAAAGCGATAAGAATAAAGTGAAGAAAGCTGAAAAAGACCAAAAAGATGCTGTTGCTGAAGGCAGTGATGTGAAGGAAACCAAGCCTCCTGAGAATAAGGTAAATAGAGATCCCAAACTGTACTAAGGAATAGGTAAATGCTGATGTAATATCTTTTCTGAAGTATTTTAGGTTAGTTGTTTTGGGGCGTGGTGCTGGTAATAAGCAATGTTTTGCCATGATGGGGTTGGGGGATATATTCCTAGAGTAGATCCTGGGAGGTCACCTCGTCCAGGTCTTTGCCCAGACCTATGCAAATCTGTTACTTCATTCTAGTGTTAAGTACCTGAATATCATCTTTCACTGCCATGCGTAGACCTTTTGGGTAAACAGTGAGGGGGAGGGAAGAGACAACTGAAACCAAAACCAAATGTACATCTACTGTTTGCATGTGGGTTGCCTATGCAGAGGCAGTTGATCTGCTGTTCTGTCTTCCAAATCTGTGCTAAACCCTCCATGGCTGCTCCCTTTTCATTGTTACCTTCTTCTGCTGATAAGAATCAAGTTATCTAGGAATTAAGTTGTCCAGGAATTTTAGAGGAATGCACAATATATATAATTATGCTGCTATTGCTATAGGTTGTTATATTGCTAAAATGGGGAATGAACTTTCAATAAGGAACATTTTCTTTTGGTCAGCTCCGTAGAGCAATTGGTGTCTATTAAACGTGAGGTCATCTCAGCAGGGATAATTCACATTGCTCACTTCAGATGTGCTGGAGGAGTGTCTTCCCATGGTAGAACCACTGAATCAGCTCATCTGTGAAGTTATGGGATCTCTGTAGAAATTCTCCCAGTCAGTGAAGTGATGGTGTTTGTGGGCTTAATTCTCCGCTAGGAAAGAGTGGACAGGAACAACAAATCAGGGTACGGCATTTGTCCCAGTACAGCCCATGATTATATTCCCTCCCTACAGGATTATGATCATTGGCTTGTGACCGCCTTGCCTTCCCCAGCCCCTGAGTGCTACATGGCCTCCAACCACCCACCGGGATGCAGTGCAGGAGGCTGCAGAGCTGCCTCACTGACCAGGGGTCCATCTCTAACGAATGGCCTTTGTGCTGCTTGAGCAGTCTTTGTCTGGTTTTAATTGACCTTTGCATTTGTTCTTCTTGTGTGGGGGCAAGGTTGGAGGAAATATGTGAGTTTGTAACTCAGCTAGCCTCTGTAATGGCCAGCAGCACTAGCTCATGCCATAGAAATGTGCTTCTGGAACCACCTTTTGTCATCTTTCTCCTGTTGCCGATATTTCACTGTGACAGATGGTTCCTTGGGAGATTTCTTTCACTTAAAGAAAGGTCGGGCAGCTTCCTGAATCATCAGTGTTGCACACCCCTCTGCATGTTTTCAAGGCATTTTAAGCTGGCTTGGTAAAAGGCACACCTCCCAAGGGGCTACTGCTAATAACATATTGTAAAGGGCAGAAATAGGTTTGTCTGCTCTTGAGCTCATCATACTCATGCTCCACTCCTCTTCTAATAAGTGCCGGGTAATACTGTGGCTTTGTTCTTCCAAGGTATCAGCAGTGTAAGTAGTTACATTCTCAGCTGATCCTGCATCAATAAACAAAACATTTAATGTCTTCTGTAGAGTTTCAACACTGCTGGTCTCTTTACCATATCTGAGCCAAGAATAACAGACGTGGGTAAAGAGCAGGGGAATCACAGAATCACAGAATGGCCAGGGTTGGAAGGGACCTCAAGGATCATGAATTTCCAACCCCCCTGCCACATGCAGGGCCGCCAACCTCCACGTTTAGTGCTAAACCAGGCTGCCCAGGGCCCCATCCAACAAGGGAATGGAGGCTGGAAATTTTAATGAATTCACATTCTTCCCCACCTGTCTTCTAGCCTCTCTTCTATCATCTCTGTGATATAAATTACAAGTCTTTAGTTTTGTTTCAATTTCTTTTTCATCATTATTATTTGTGCTGCTTTTCCAATGAAACCCAGTTTTCCAGTTGTTTTTTTTTTTGGGGTCTTTTCCCACAGTCCAGTTGACTTGCATAATCGTTAGAAATAAAGAATGTGACCTTGTGAGTGACTTTGCTTCTCTAAACCCAAAACAGAAACATAATAGAGCGACGCTGTGTATTGCTATATGTGTATATGTTGTATCTATTTTAGCTTGGTAAAGAGGAGCAAGGTCCAGAGAAGAGCTCACCTTCAGCTGATAAACAAGGAGGAGAATCTGGAGAGACTCTGGAAAACGCAAGAAAAGAGAAGGTTGGTGGCACACAGTTGGTACAGCTTCCATGATAAAATAAGTGAAAACCCAAGTTTGATCTCTGGAAGGGTGTGTAGAGGGGCAACTGAAGGGAGATGTCTAATTTAACTTGCCTTATCTTGACCTTTTCCCGAAGTCTCCAGAACTCTTTTTTTAGTTGCTCTTTGCCAATGTACATTGCTTTGCATGCATAGCCCTTGGCACTGACAACTGTAATGTATGCCTGAGTGAACCATGTAACTTTGTGAACCGTGCCCAAAAATAGGAGATGCAGTCAGTTAGTGGAGAAGAAGGGGGGGGGGGAAACTAATGATGAAAACTTTTCAGAACATTGGCTTCAGATGGTCTACAGATAGTAGCCTCCTCTGATTGCTTCTGGTTTTAATTAAATAGTGTTTTCACAACAGCCCTTCTACAGCATCACAGTTGGGAACAGCAATGTCCTTGGAATTCCTCCAGCTTCATATCTGTAGGGTCATGGGTTGATGATCAGATATGGAAGCTATTGATATCTCTTGCTGTAGAAAACTGATCTCCTGGCAAGAACAGTGTCAACTCCCAGAGTTTTCTTGCTGTTTTAGAATTCTAGGAAGGGAAGTGTGCAAATGGCTGAACAGGAGGAGAATACAGATTATTAACAGATTATGTGCTCACAATGATTCTGAGAGCTGAAATCTAAACTGCACCAATTATGTATGAAAAGGAAGCATGTACATTAACATTCTGATACTTCTCAAGTCCAGTACTAGAATCTGAGCATCCTACATGTCTCTAATTTCCTATGTGAAGTACATCAGATTATAAATCTTGGAGAATAACTGTAAAACTGGTTTTTCTTAAGGTCTAGGCCAGTCTCTACCAACACAGTCTCTGGCAGAGGGCTCTTGCAGGTGGAAAGAAATGGCTACAGATGGTAGCTGCATTTTCTCAGGTCAGCATAAGAATTTAAAGGATCCACTCCAGAAAAGTCAAAGCCAGGGGCTAGAGTGGTGTTCAGTGTATTCTCATTATGGTTCCCATTTCTCATCACTCTGGAACAGAAGTAGAGGAGAGGGAGAGGTTAGTTTCCTTGGGGATCACGGAGCAGAGTCAGTCGTGTAATAAGGTGTATGACAGGCTGTGCATTGTTATGCTTACAGAAAAGCAAGGAGTGGGAGGATGGAGAGACTGCAATTTCCAAGGCAGCTTTAGAAGCTCCCGAAAGTGAAGTTCATATTATTATTATAAAAATACTACTTGCATGTGTGCATAAGGTTTAAAATCATAGCATCGAGACATGTCATCCATTGAAACTGAAACACGAGAGGGGCCAGATCAAAATTTTTCCTGGTTGCTGATGTTCAAAGCCCACTGATCTCATTTTTTTAACATCTTTGTGACAGGACCAAGACTGGGAGAGTGGAAGTGAGATAGAAGGCGAGACCTGGTATCCTGCTAACATGGAGGAATTAGTGACAGTAGATGAAGTGGGAGAAGATGACCTAATTATGGAGCCTGATATAACTGAGCTTGAGGAAATTGTACCAGTTGATCAAAAAAGTAAAGCTGCTACAGATATGTGTTCCTGTATGACAGCCATATTAGAACTGGAAAATGATCATAGCCACCTAAACAGGAGTGAAGAGAAATTTACCCATAAACCTTTAGAAACAAGCTTCAGATCAGTAAAGGGAAGTGTAGCTTCTAGCATCTGTCAGGATGACGAGGAAGATGATAATGATGATGCTGTAACTGAAGCATCAAGCCTAAATCTGGACCGTGAGCAGAAGCCAGAGGAGTCGCAAGACCAGTCTGCTAAGGAGTCTGACCACCAGCAGAAGGAAGTAAAAAATGATAAAGGCTCTGACACTCATTTAGAACCTGAAGATCAGCATGCACCTTCTGTTCAGCTAAAAGAGGAGTCTCTCCAGCTCCCTGATGAATTTATAGATGATTACAAACAGATGGGATCACAAGGAGCTGAAAGCAGAGAAGTTATGGAAATGCTTGTTAAAAATGTTAGTGAAGAAACAAGACGTGAAAGCCAAGAGTGTCCAGAGGGTAACTACTGTTTTTTTTCTTCTCGGCCTGCAGGGAGCCTTGCATGTTTTCTCTGACAGTAGGCTGAAATTTATTGCTAACAAGAGTAAATGTTGCTAATAGTATCAAGACTTGTCCTTGGAGCAGCTCAGTAAAAGAACTCCGGTGCCTTTTGCCAAGCTAAACCATTAGAGGCTCTTAGCTGAATAGTGTAAATGAAATATGATAAGCAGCTTGCAAGCTTTCTGAAAGGCATAAGCTGCTATAATTGTCATGTCAAGGTTCACATGAGTTTAACTGAACGCTTTCAGTGCTCTGCTAAATTTATTTTGAATTGTCAATGAAATGAGTGACAGTCACTGAAGGTCAACAGAAAAGTATCTGTAATGTCTGGCTGGCTCCTGGACAAGGTGGGTATTCTTACACACTGTACTGTGGCATTAGTAACATGGAAATCATCTGCAGATTGTTGCTTCTTAGTCCCTGTTCATACAAATACATGCCTTTTGTCAGGACTTGCCTTATCATCTCCTCTTATCTACTGCGCGCTGCCTTTCATATATCTGATAAGACATGCTGTGAGATAGTGCCAATAAATGTAATCATAGCTGTCTATTAATATTTTATTGTCAGGGAAAAAAAAAAAGAGAGATCTTGAATGTCTGAAATTGAGGTTGGTTCCTTGTCAGGCTTTCAAATGAAATTTGAGCAAATGCGTAGTGCGTAAGAAGTGGAAGTGGAAAATGAAATAAACCATATAGGTCAGGAATGCTCTTCTTTGATTGCTACTGAAGCCCATGTATTGGAGAGGGGTTTGTGAGCAGAAGTTGCTGGAAGTTTTATGAATACCATTTTCTTGCAGAACATTTGGTGTGGATATGTGATCTTGAGCTAAGTTTTCCCTCCTGAATAGAATTGAAACTTGTTCACCTTTCAGTACTTGCCCTCTGGCCTGAAGACAGCTTTCCAGGCTTTGTGTGTTTGGAGATAATCTGCCATGCCATGCCCTGCAACTGGAGATGGCAAGCTTGGCTCCCCTGGCTGCCTGCTTCACAGGCATCGAGCTCCAGTAACAGAGGCTTTTGATGTTTCCAGCATCTCAACTTGCCAGTAGGGAGCCTGGAAACTCCAGGAGAGCATGTGTCCCATGCGTCTGCCATGGATGTGGCAGCTGATGTGCAAAGCTCTAGGCTCTCTGCAAATGCAGCTGCCAGCTCAAAAGCCCAGAAATCAACCCAAGTGAAACTTAAGTTGCCAGAAAGGCCCTGGGTGTTTTAAGAATAACCAACTGAGGCTCTTGAGTTTTTCAGGAGGTCTTCAGCACATTTGGAAACTTGGAATGGTCTTAAAAGTTAACTTGAAAGCCAATCAGTCAGGGTTTTTTTAATTATTTTCTTTTAAATCATGTGATACTCACATTTACAATTATGAGGGAGAATTCATTTTCATAGTCAGAAATTGCAGAACCTTGAACTGCAGACTTGAAAGGCAGGAAGGGTTTGGTTGGGGCAGAAATGTATTTGTTTTGTAAGAAAATGTAGCCCTTATCTAGGTGAAATTTGCAATGCAGTGGAAATTCCATTAGGTTAAGGGAACTGGTTCCTTGATGTAAGAATTGAAGAGTGGGAATTATACCAGTTTATCAGTAATTCTGTTGCTCTGTGGAATAAGAAAAAAAAAAGGTCTTGTCTGAGTCCACTTATGTTGATCAGTAGGAATCAAACCTCTCCTTGCTGGCCAGAAGGCAAAACCTTCCAATAGCCAAAAGCCATAAAGCAGAATCCATCCCTTGGGGAGCTGAGGATGGGAGAAGAGTGGCTCCAGGAAGGAGAGGGCAGCAGTGCCATGGGATCCTGCTGTGGGAGAGTTTGCAGCAGGGGAGCTGCTCGCAGCCAGTGCTGCTGCCCACGTGCAGCCCAGCTCCAGCCCTCGTCACGCAATGCCATAGGTGGCTACAGGGCTGAAATTCAACTGTGCTTGGGCTGGAGGCATGTGTAATATTATAGATCTGTTTAGAATTTAAAATATTAAATTTTAAAAAAACATAGCAAACATGATGTGAAAAATAGAAAAATAATCTGGAAGAAATAGGGTTAACTGTGTCAGCTGTTGAAGTAGCACTGAGTTGGATCTTGCTTGAATGGAAGAGCTTCACTCATAGCTCCACCCAGAAGGTGTTCTAAGAATTCTACAGATGTCTGTTTAAACTAATAAACTGTTTTCATTCAATACATTTATTCATTTGTTAAGCAAATTCTAGGTACCTGGAAATGAGATCTCTGGAATACCCAGAAGTAGAGTCTAGGAGGAGGCACTCTCCGGCAGGCTGGGAACAAGAAGATGTCTTCACCGAACTCAGCATTCCCCTGGGTACGTTGGGACATTCAGGCCACTGCAATTCCTAGAGCTTACAACAAGATGTCACTTTAAGGCTACTTGCTAGATTTATTTCTCAGAACAGACGTGAGGAGAGTGAGGGAGCAGCGCATAGACAGAAAGGGAGCTGTTGAAAGAAACAAGCTTTTCATTGTAGACCTTTGCCGATTTCTTTCCAGATGAATAGCAAAAGATGTTAATGTCACTGATGAAATCAGTTCCCTTGGGCTTCTTTGTCTCGAACCTGAGCCTGATGCAAGGACTCTCTGCAGTAATCAGAAAGAAGAGTAAACTAGAGTGGTTTAGCCTTGTGTACCCCCCATAGGCACATTGCATTCATAAAGGACCTGGTGAGGCTGTGATAGAAACTCTGATCAAAGTCAAGGGATCTTGAGGGCAGAAAGATCATCCAGGAAATTCTCTAGGAATTAGAGAGTTGTACTCTTAAGACGTATGGTATGAAAAATACGTAGTAATTTTAAAAAGTGCCTGTCATAAAAGTGTTGATTACACTCTCAGTATTACAAAAAGTATTGCTTTACTGTGTAAACAATGATCATAAGTAAAACGCTTGGGAGAGTGCATCTTCTAAGAGTAATTTGCATGATGTCAGTGTGAATTTGCTGCTAATAACTACAATAGCTGTTCTGGTCCTTGAGGTTACACAGTGAGATTTCTAGTCAATATTATGTGAGAGAAGGTCCATGTGTTTGATATCTGCTAGAGAAGTACAAGGTGTATTTGCAATGCACAGGATTTTATACTGCAGCTCAGGAGTTCAAAGCCAGGCAGGATGGGGCCATGGGCACCTGGCTGCCCTGCCCATGGCACAGCGTTGGAGTTTGGTGATATTTAAGATAGCTTTCAGCCTAAGCCATTCTATGAATCCAGGATCAGTCTTCATATCTATGCCATTTAACTACCTTGTTTTGGAGGGGAAGGTTTTTAACTGACATGTTGAATTTCTCAATAGGCGTGGAATTCGTGGTGCCTAGAACTGGGTTTTACTGCAAGCTCTGTGGGCTCTTCTACACGAATGAAGAGACAGCAAAGACAAATCACTGCAGAAGTACTGTCCACTACAAAAATCTTCAGGTAAAAGCACACGTGAAAATAGCCAATAACTAGATTTTGGGGTGGACTGGGTACAGGATAGAGAAGCTAGCAAAAATCAGTTTTTGTGCCATGGACAGAATTCAAAGTGAAATTTAAGTAAACGAAACTTTTCAGTAGTTCCAAATTTTAACACCCTAATTTTTGACTGCCAGGTCCCTGCTTATGGATCATCAGTAAAAGGGGGCCAGCTGGTAACTGTATCTTCTCATACAGGCTGGATCCTTGTCACCAGCTCAGCAAGCAACTCAGACCTTTAATTAGCCATTGTTAAGGGTCCCAGATGTTTGTGTTGTTGGGAGTGAGCCCAGCAGCAGCCTTTATTATTTCTGAGTTTCAGGAGAAGAACATGCCACTTGTTTAATAACTTTGCCATTCTTGCTTTGTATGAGCATAAACTCCTGCAGCGTGTTTCGGCACGCAGTACTCTGTGATGCACAGGCTCTCCTGCTGTGACCTGCTGGAATCACCTCCCTGTGCTGCAGAACAGCATGGCAGTTCAGCCACAGAGAACACCACCACTGAATAATTTCTGTAAGGATATGCAGAGGCACGTAATCACTTGTGTGGTTTCCATAGGTGTATGCCACCAGCCCTTGATAATAGCATGAAGAGACCATGGGCACTTGCCTTTAAATAAAATTTCCTGCCTTTATCGCTTTTCAGACGTACAGTTGATAGTATCAGCCATGACAGCACAAGCATCATGCCTAATGCTAAGGACTTGCTGGAGGAGCCAGCCTTGCATCACATCTCCTTGAGACCATGCCCATGTGTAGGGTGTGTGCCCTGCAGAAGACACTTTTATTTAGGATGCTTTGAGACAGCTCAGAGTTCTTATTAGACGCTTTTATTGGAATTCACATGCTCATAAAAAAAAGGCATGAAAGAATATGACTGTTCTTTCTTTCTCTGTTCCTTCCCTCTGCCCATAGCAAATGCTGGAGCCCTGCTTTTCTTCAGGTAATAGCCATTTTTCCCTAGCTGGCTAGTAGGCACTAGCCTTTCTGAAAATAGTTTTTTTAATGAGACACGTGGTTTCTCTGGAAGAATTTTCTTTTCAGGCCTCTGACTGAGACTCTGCCTGCAGAGCTGCTGTCCTTGCTAATGATGGTTCCTGTCAGTGTAATCTAAAGAGCAGGCACCCAGTCCACATATCTTTTTTTGCTTCTTTCACGAAAATCCAGAGAAATTGACCAGAGGTAGCACCACTCAGTACTCAGCAGGTGTGTCCCAAAGAAACTTTGCTTAAGCAAAGGTTGCAACTCCAGCCCCATGTAACCAGTCCTATGGGAGGAAGAGGCAATTCTCACTTTCTAAGTTATTTTGTTGAAGTCATAGAAAAAAAAAATTCCAAATAAAATTAGGAGAATGTGGAAAAAAATCTTTTTCTCCCATGATCCATTTCCCAGGAATACTGTAGTAGATATGTAACACTGATTTGAGATAAAAGCACAAAGACAGCAAAAGCTGTTAAAATTAAATCTGTCAAATATGGCAATGGAAACATAATGTTCTGTAGAGCCTTATCTTCCTAAATGGAGGAAGTATACACCTGATAAATAACCATCCAACTTTTGCCTACTCAAATGGAAGTTCAGCAAGTTTTTTCTTTGTATTTCTAGATCCATATTAATTATGTACTTTGCAAGAAACATCAATCTTTTAGGGTGGTGCAATGTAATGAGTGTATTCAGCAACATAAGAACTGTGGACTCTAGCTGTATGTGGAGCTATGGGTCTGCTCTACAGGCTGTCATTCTGTTGTCTTGCCCGTGTGACAAATGCCACTGTCTGATGCCAGCATCGCTGTCCCATGCTTTCATGAATATGAGTTTTTTCCAGTTGATTTGCCACATATCTTTTGCACAACCCTCTTGGAGCCACATCCAGAATATGCATTCAGTGTTTGGATTTTAGCACAAAACCGAACCGTCTTGTTTTTTTCTTCCAAAAACTTCACTTAGTTGTTGAGTAAATGAGTCACCTTTACCTCTTCTTCTCTCTGTCTTGCCCTTGAAGAACAGCAACCAGTGAACAAATTTCAGCTTTTTCTTGTTAGCCTTGCACGCTTTTTTTTCCATGTCCAAAAGATCTATTATTTGGCCTTACCTTCTTACCTATCACACTAAGCTGACAGATTCATCTGGTGTAAGCTACCTTTGGCAATTCAGTGCAGCATTTTATCCTGTTTACCCCTACCTTTATACAACATTCATCAAAACTTGTATTTAAAGGAAAAAAAATATTTTTTTCCTAGACTTTCATTTTCCTATAAATGAATGTGAATGTCTGATGTGTGAACTTCAAAACTGGTGACAGCTGACATTAACATCAGCTAAAGGTGATGGATAAACCTCAGTCTTATTTTGGTGGGTAATCATTAAAACCCAGACACGTGCGGGTTGTTTGATCCAGCAAGTGTTAGGGATTTGTTACATGATGTACAGACCACTTGTAATCTTCATGGATTCTGTATCTCTGTATTCCTGTAACGTTGGCCTTCTGCCACATGGCATTTTGTACCTGGGAGCCACAATCAAGAGTTGTGTAATTTCTACTCCCAAATCAGGTTAATGGGGGTGCAGTCATCATTTTCTCGCAGTTACACCTACTCTTACATTTACTGAGTCTGTTTCAGATGTACCTTTTACACCCACAACTTGTATTTCTGTGAGACAGCTGGGCAGTCAGAACATAGCCCCTCATTTCTTTATATTCATTTCCCATTCCTCCTGTTCCTCATGGAGGCCAAGGAGGTCGAACTCTGGAGGTCACAGAGGAGGTCAACCTCTAGCCTGTAGGAATCCTGCAACTAGATAATGTTAGTATGTTAGACCACCTCTACGTTACTGTGTGGGTATCTGTGTAGACTAGCTGCTGATGAAGAAGCTTCTTTCCATCTATTTCTAAATGTGTTGACCATGAATAAATACTTTGAGCACCATTTTCCAACCTACATTCAATTGTTTACCCTCCATTCCTACTAACAGTGTTTTCAGAAGATTGGAAGCCTCACTGGCCACGTCTGTATTTTCAAATCACGCTGAAATGCTTTTTCTTAGAGTAAAATACACACAAATACTCTATCCAGAGTGCTAGTGTTACTTATTATTGAGTTTGTTTTGTCTCTTAATATGAATATTCTTGTGCACAAGATACATGTCTGAACTGGAAGTGCTGAAAATGAAATACATATGCTTTAAATTATGACTCAGAATCTGTATCTACTTTCTGACACAGCAGTCTTACCCTGGTATAATTTAGTTGACTGAGTGGGGTTAGTTCCTATGCTGTATCTTACAGGAGCTGTGAGTTTTCTTGCAAAGAGAAGTGAGGTCTTGTTACACAGACTGATGGGGAGTTGTGATCTTTCTGATTCTGACAGCAATTCCCCTTGTGGCACAAGAGTAAACAACAGAACGTTCAACTCCATGGATTAAGCATTCTACCTGGCTTGAATTTTGACCAGGAGGAGGTTCTATGCATATTCTTCCATTCTGAGGTGCTGGGATGGTGTAAGAGCCTCTGAAAAGGAGCAGAGCATTCTGCGTTGAGTATTTTCAGTTTTAATAGAGATGGTTTGTTTTTGTTGTGATTGCAGAAATATCTGTCCCAGCTTGCAGAAGAGAGCCTGAAAATGAAGGAAGAAGACAGCCACCTGCTTCAGGATGATGCTGGAATTGTTCCTCACTTTACAAAGAAAAAAATATGATGTGTATGAGTTGGAAGAGCCATAATGAGTGAATGCTGATATATTTTTTAATTTTATTTTCTCTGACATAACTGTCAATTTGCACTGTACAGAGGAGGGGAAATAAAGAGCATCTTCCATGCACCTATGCCCAGAGTGCCATTAAAAACCAAAATGCCTGAAACTGTTTCCCACGGTGAAGCAAAGCTGGCATATCTGTACCAAGTGGAGCAATTCTTTCTCACACTCTGCACGTTGGGAGTGGTTTCCTAGATTAAATCAGAATTCTCAGGGATTCTTCAGGTTTTAATTCTGATGTGACACATCAGGTCAGGCAGAGTATTTAGAAGCACTCAGCATCCTCCAGTGGACGCTGGAAGGAAAGGAGATGTGACTATAAATAGGCTTTAATGTTGCTTAAAGTGTCTGCAGTCATTTTGCTCATTACCCCCAGTGAGTAGGATTAGTGAGTAGGATTTGCATAGGACATCTAAAGCCATTGTGCTAAAACTAATCTGTAGATGGCATCGTGTAAACCCCACCAGCATCCATCTCCATGCGTCTTGGAGCTGGGTGAAATGATAGATATTTGTGTTGTTAAGCACTGACAGTGTTGTACGAATGCAGAGGGAGCCACAGTCTCTGCCCAGGGACCTTATAGCCTGAGCCCAGCACAGAGAGAGCAATTCAAACACACGTGCTGGCAGCTCTGGATTTCAGCATTTTCTATGGCGTGATCAGGGTGTTCTCCAGCTACTGTTCTGTTTAAAACTCTTCTCTTTGACGAATCTAAAGAGTGCCAACTTTGAGTCTTACAGACTTGAAACTTTCATGGGAAGCTTTTTAAAGTGCCATGTGTTTGGACCATGTTGCTTTTAGACATTTTACTTGAGACTCTTGCTTTTGGAGTCTTTCTGTTTTCTTCTCAGAGCTGCTTTTCCTTGGCTTGGCAATGTTGAATTTTCCTGGTTTTCATGGAAGGATGCCAGACTTTTAATATTGTTTTCATATTTTATTTCCCTGATGTTTTTTAAGGTGAATGTCACAACTCATGGCTCACAGGATGAACACAGGATGCACCAGCAGCTCTGGCATTATTACGAGCTATTGTTTCTGTGCAGTTGTTACTTAGTATTTTGCTCAGTCCCTTTGAAATGCACTGTACGAGTTTCTGGTTCATTTCAATGGGGCTTTGTGTTGTATAGTGAATGCGTATGCAAACCATTGCCAGAATTGATCCCAGAGTTATGCTTTTATAAAGTGCACCACGTAATCTAGGCAGATGCGGAATTGCAGACGTGTTTCTGTTCTTTGCCTGACTCTCATACTCATCAGAGTATGTTCTGTAAAAACTGCTGGTGCAAGATGTCCTGTTTAGATGTTGTAAGTGGAAATAGTTTCCCAGAAGGTTCCCGTCATCGCTAAGCATGACATGGACATTGCAAACTATTACAGAGTGACTGAAATGCCAAAACCGCTTCCACCAAAGTATTCGTTCCATTATTTCTTGTGCCAGCAGTCATGCTTGTTCTCTGCAGGATCCTGTGGCCAGGCAGCGTGTCTTAGAGGTGTCTGGCGTTGTTGCCTGAAGCCCTCTTCCATTTCATGGCCTGTGCTTTCCACTCGTTTTACCAGAGGTGGGTTCAGATTTCATATTTGGAATTCCTGTTACAAGTTGAGGGATTCTTTGCATCCCAGATTCAGATGTGGCCTATCCAAAAGACAAGGGGAAATGAAAAACATTGCAGCATAAATCCTTCTTTATCCACACTTGAAGTATTTTTAAGATTTGGGTCCATCTGTCATTTAAAACAGCCTTTGTTTTCCCCTAAGTAAAATAAATAAATAAATAAAAGGGAAAAAAATGCAAACAAAGAATTTTTCCTTCAAAGGTTGGGCTTTCCTTTGGCTGTTTGTTTTTCACATAGCAGTGAAATTTGAGCACAGAGCTGTTAGGGCAAGAGCTTATATTGCAAGCTATAAGATTACAAAAATGGCAGCAGAGATTGTGCAACCATCTTCTAAAGCACAGCTCTCAGGCTGGTCGTGTATCATCTGAATGTGAAGCTCCCCTTATGCCCTTCAGCACAATCTGGGTACGAGGGAAGGAAGTCACTCCAGTGCAAGCATTAGATTTTTGAAGCTAACCCTGCTCTCAAACTGGGGCTCTCACTGCCCTAATGGCAGCTTGTTAGACCATGTGGTTAAGTTTAATTGGATGTGAGACACAGCTGACTGTATATCAAAGTCATATGCCTCCAGCAACTTTATCCCCAGGTAACCTCGAATGAGAAAAGTATCACTGTTATTATTCTTTATTTGTATTGCAGCAGAAGCTACAGGTCCACTGCCTTTATTATAGGCATGACACGAATCCACAACAAAGACTTTCCCAGGCCAAGGAGCTTTAAACTTTCAGAAAACAGACAACAGGTGGATACAGGCAGGCAGGGAAAGCAATAGGCAAGCAATGAGATTTTGACTGGCAGCAGCAGAATTACTAAAGGGAGGGCTTGCCCATGAGGTTATTTTTCACCCCTCCTCAAATTCTTAATCAGGATCACTCTCATTATTCATAGCTTGCATATTTAACCTTCTTTTTCCTATCTGGTTGCATTAGATATGCAGAATTCCTTCTTGATACTGAAGCAGACTGAAGATGTCCTCATTTAAATTTTGGTCTCCATCTAGAGCTCTAGGAGCAGGAGGATCACCAAGGATCACCAAGGGCCTGTCATGGCTCCAGGTCCTTTGTTTGGGTCAGGGCCCAGGCCACTGTTTCGCAGCTGAAGGAAGTAGAAGGAGGACACTCTGTGTGGCATCTCTACCCTACTTAGTTTCCTCTCCTGGAAATGTCTCAAGTGAGAGATGCAGGAGCCATGCCCAGCCCCACAGATGTGACCTAACCAGACATTTATAGAGATGGTTTGGTGGCCCCATTCCTCTGAACATCGTCCCACACAACAGCAATCTGTAACATCTTAGGTACAGCCATAGGGACAGTTTTCTTTCTGAGGAGCTGCTTTCTCACCCTAGAACTCAACACTTTAAAGCAATCTCTAGTCTCAATTAACTCCTACTGATCCCTACGATCACTTTTCAGCCCGATTCACTTTGAGATCTCAGAGACAATCTCCTTCCCTCCCCAACAGGCCATCATGCAATGCTGACAGGCACTCAGCTCCTCAATTTCTACTACCTATTCTGCTGAGGAAGAAAGCCACTGTAGGCAGTTGCTTGCCTTTCTCAGCTTATGTAAAAGTGTGTTTTTTTGTTTGTTTGTTTGTTATATTTTAAATTTTTACTTTTTTGTTGGCAGAATTCATCATCACTATAATCCACGCTGTTAATACATACATACATACATATATATATATATATATACACATTTTATATATATAGCACAAAGCAGGCTCAGGTCTAGCCAAAAATATATTGATATTTAAAAAAACAAAAAAGAGCTTCCTTAATATGTACAAACCATTTCAACACATCTTAACCAAAGATTGCACTTTTTGAATAGGGACTGTGCTTTTCATCTCTGTGAAATCTGTATTGATCTCAAGTAGTCTTTAATGTCAATCTGCAACTTACTTTCCTAAAAGTAGTATTTCCATAAAATAAAACAATTAAACATTTGCCCCATAAGATTAGACAAAGTTTCACATTGGCTTTAACACTAAATTAGTGTTAGGCTGGTTATATTCAGGGTTTTTCTATTCTCTAAGGATTAAGGCTGTGATTTGTTGAATTATACTTGAACTGGACCAGATGTATTATTTATTGAGCTTATATAATCTTGTTAATTTAAGTTTTGGCTTGTAAACAGTTGGAATTTGTTAGTACTTGTTTAATTATGTAGGAACTGTCATCAATATTAACTGATCTGTGTAACTGATTGCAATTTGTGTTTCCTAAAAAGAAAGATTTTAATAAAGAGAATTAAAAAGCGTAAGTAGTGGTGGGCAATTGTCCCAGCAACAATGTGCTTCTGCCTTTCCAGGAAATCTGTTGCAAATCAAAATGAATAAAAGCTAATTTGGGGAGTAAGGTGAAAATAGGAGGCCAAAGTGTTCAATATAATTTCTAGAAGTTGTGTTTCTTACCACGTGGCTCCTGCCACACACCACGAGTGACTGCAGTCATCGGGTGCTGAAGTTGAAGTGAACACATCTTGGCGTTGCACTCCATAATTATTTTTAATTGTTACTACCTGCTCTAATACCTCCTACCTGTTACTACCTGCTGTCCCTCCAGATATGCACTCACTTCCCTTTTCTCTTTATTTTCTCAAAATAAATTTGCCAGGCTGGCTGTCCCCACTGGCTTTTCCCTGTTTCCATCCAGACTGTCTTTTCATACTTCTGAAAGTACTGTAGAAAATAATTGTCCCTAACAAAGCTAAGCATGCCTTAAGCATTCCCTACCCGATCTCAGCCTAAGTTCCTCCGTTTGCCTGTTTCCCTCTCTCCTGTGCTCTCCTTTTGCTGAAACTCCCTCTTTCGGCACACTGCCATTGAACAGCTGGGGAAATGGGTCATTAGCAGAAAGGCTGGCACTCTGGTTTTCTGACTCTCCAGTTCATTAAATCAGAACTTTTATGTTTTCTAAGTAAGTGTTTTGCAGCGAAAGCACACGTGTAATGTATTTTAAGCACAAATGGTTTCAGTTCTTCTGGTGTGGATGTACTGAAACCTTCGTACATGTGATTGTGGTATCATCTCTTCACAACTATGAATCTCTCTCTAAAAATCAGGAAAGTCAATTTTATAAGTGTTTATTTGGCATCACATGTCCTTAGCTAACAGAAATCCAAACTGCAGGGTGCAGGCCGCCGAGGACATCAGCATTAGTGTGGCAGGAACCCTGCCGCGTTTGTGCGGGTGGCAGTGGGACAGCCCCAAAGAACAGGTTTGCCTCTGCTTGCTTTTCTGCCTCTCCCTCCACCAACCTCTGCTTATCTGTGTCAATACGCTGAGCGCTCCCCATGTGTTTGGCTCGTCTGATGCAATGCTGTGCTGTGGAAGTGTGCACCTGGAGGTAAGGTGCCTGTGTTGTGGAAAAGATGGGGACTGTGCAAACCCAGGGATCTTACCTGCCCTCTCTGGACCATCCTCAGTGGGATTGGGTAATGCAGTGGTGGAACAAAAAGAATCCTTTTCCCTTGCACTAAAGAAACATCCACAGGCATTGATCAATCTCGAGCTTGGCAGCAGGCGTCAGAGCTGCAGGCCCAGCAGAACCCATTTTCCATGCACGAAGGTTTCTTGTTGGAGCTTATCTGCACACAATTGCATCAGCCTACTGCAGGGTGAGATTTCTGATCAGATACCCATGATTAAAAAGCTGGGGAGCTCTCATTTTAGTTTGTATCAGGCTGACTCTGCTTAAGCAGCACTCCGTCAGGAGCAGTGTTTAGCTACCAGAAGTAAGCTTCATTTAAGCTGAAATAGCAGCATACGTCAATTTTTAATTAAATGGGTCAGATCTAAACGAGCGGGCACGTTCAAAAGCTTTTTGCGCACTAGAAAACCCCATAGGGCAGGCTGTATCCAGCCTTTTAGATCAGTGCTGGGCAGAGCACTGGCCAATATCCCTCCAGGTAAGACAGCACTGGCACTGCAGCCCTGGTTGGAGGCAGCTTTTCCAGCCTGGTTTCTTACCAGTGCCTTAGAAGTGAGGGATCCTGTTTGTAAGCTGCAATAATGTTGTTTGAGGACATGTATATGAGTTCCACCTTCCTCAAACAAAGCCTTTGTGTCTTTAAGAGGGCACAGGAAGCCTGTTTTGTTTGTGGGTTTCTGCTTCGGCTTGGTTGTGTTTGCATTGCAGTTGGGTTATCTTCAGCACAGAGCAGCGTGTTCTTGGCAGCAAACTTTCACCTTGTGCTCAGGGGGTGTAGCCAGGCAATGCTGTGCACACCTGTGCTGGGAAATGAGGAGAATTTGCCTGCTTGTACCACTGCTGTGATGCTAAAACCAGTTTCACAGCAGTGCTATTAGTGAGTGCTTAGCAGCACCCAGCTCCCAAGGCATGGGTACACTGCAGGGCATGGGGGTGCACCTATGTGCATGTGCATGTGTGTGCAAGAGCAAGGCTTGCACTGCCTCGCCTGGATTTTAGCATTAAGCACTTGGCGCACACTTTGCCAGTATTGCAGTAACAAGTCATGTTCTGGTGCATGCCCAAATTGTGTTTCTAACATCCCTATCTTGGGATGCTGTTGGCTTCTACTTCCCTGACACAGAGATCCACTGCAGTGGAGAGCAGCGTGTGCACGAGGGGAGCAGTGCCTGTGTTCCCCAAGGTGCCCCCACCAAAGTGGGATCTTCAGAAACAGATCAGATCTTCAGATCTTAACCTGGCGTGCCCACAGAAGGAGAATGCACTGAGACAAACAGCAGGGTCAGCCCAGGTCTGTCCTGACAATAAAGGGCAATCAGTGCTGCTCTGCCTGGGCTGTTCCAAGGCCTGCTTCCAGCTGACTGAAACGGGGACAACTCAAGCACAATATGCTGGATATTAGCCTGCTAACTGAACAACAAGAGGCTATAAATAATCTCTTTCCTTGTGTGACTGTTGCTGAGCTGTGTGTGGACCCAAGAGCTCTGGACGAGGCCAGTAGGACCCATGCTCATAGGCATTTTCCAGGAGCGGGCTGGTGGCTGTGGCTGTGTGTTCACAGGCTGTGTATCACCTGCTCTTCTGCTTTCATCTTTCTGCAGAGGCATATACTGTTGCCTCTTCCCAAACCTCCTACACGGGCTCTGAGCCCCAAAGTAGAGCAAGTCTGGATGAAGTGAGAGCCACTGAAGGCTTGAAGTTAAGTAAGTACCTATTTAATGCAGCATCCAATGCAAGCAGTGACTCGCAGCATGAGAAAGTGCAGAGCCCAGTGAGATGAGAATAAAAAACATGAAGTGAAAGAAACGTGTCAGAAATGCCATTTGGGTATGTTTCCTCCTGAGAGTTGCTCTGTCTCTTGGCACTCTGAGCAGGCTCACAAACTCACAAACTCACTTTCATGAATTCTCAGCCAAGCAAAGTGAGAAGCAAAATGTGTTCACTTAAACCAGCATGCAGGTGGTCTGAACAAGTGAGTGTGACCCCTGAAGGAGCATGTGAGAGGTGTATACCATGGGCTGACATGGGGCAGCTAATACACGAGCACTTGCTGTGCTGTTGTATCTTGGTTGCTTGTGACTGTGTGAAAACACCTGGAGATGCAGCTGGGACAAAGCACAGCAGTGGTCATGAGGTGCTTGAAGCTCACATCTGCTCCTGTTGGGTCCTGGCAGCTTTCAGCCATGGCCACCCACTGTAATGAGAAGAATTGCTTTCCTAAAATACAAAGGACCAAGATATATCTAGTCACATTAAATGTCCTTCTGTGATCTTGTGGAGCCTCCCAGTTCCGCTCTGCTTACAAGAGGTGTACCAAGGCGCAAATTGAGTACATAAAGCAAAAAGGCACTCCTTTCTAAGAGGATCTGGGGTGCTAATGCTCCAGGTCTTTTGTCTTTAAATATTAATGCCACAGTGTGCGTTGTCACAGGTTGCTAAAATAATCTTTTTCCCACCACTTTCCTCTTGTCAGCATTTCTGGAGCTCCACTGCATTGTGGCTGCTGCTGTTATGTAAGGATTTATGAATGGCTGCAGACTTCAAAGGCAGATTGGCAACCTCCAAATCCTGAGAAGCCAGCAGTCAGCCCAAGCCCTGCCCCATTTCCCAAGAAGTTATTTGCCAGCTACTTCTTTTCCCAACTTTAAAAAAAATAATAATAAATCTTATTAGCCAATGTAATGCAGGATCTCTTTATTCAGTTCCCAATTTTTTTTAAGTTACTCTAGTTTCATATTTTCAAATCTTTCATCCTTGAGGGCTAGGAACATAACTCATTTATAAATGAAAGTTACAGTTCCCTTGCTTCAAGAAGCTGGGATTTTATGATACAATCCCCAAAGCTCAAAAACTGCGATAAAATCACAGGAGCTGCCAGCAGTGCACAGAGTCTCCTCTGTTTGGGAAAGGTGTTGGGCTGCAGTGAGCTGCAGGCATCGGCTCCAGCTACTGCTGTGTTAGTGAGTCAAAGAAAAGAAATAGAAAGAACCCCTTGGCTAAGTGCAAGCTCTGCAGGCCCGGCTACAAAGACAACCTCATCTCTTTTTATCTGCAGTGCTGCACAAAACAGCTCCCTTTGTAAAACTCCAGATTAATTTTCATACTGAACGGCCTCACAAGGCCCCTGCCACCCTGGCAGACTGCACTGGGAAGCACACTGGACATGCAGAGCACAGGAGGATGCAGGCGGGTGCCAGCTGGACGTGTGGCTGTGGCTGCTTGCAGTCTGGGAGCATTTCAGCCCAAGTAATCTTCCCTTCTCCCCTCTCCTTCCTCCTCATCACTGCTTTAATTGTGGCTCCCTGCTGCCTTTCAAGTAGTCCCCCTCAGCTTGAATCAGATCCCTATTGTCTGTGTTGTCAACACAGCTGTTTAAATCCCTTCCCCCAAATCCCCAAGCTTTCCAGAAAGCTTCTGTCTGCAAGGAGCTCTGAGCTTCTGGCTTTTTGTTGGGCCCAGGCTCAGGTCAGATTCCCAGGTGGAGCTGGATGCGGGAGAATCCTGCACTCCCCCAAAGCCTGCTGCTGGGAGCTGGATGCTCGTGGCTTCTGCAGTGCTCCAGCCTGAGACCGACAGGCAGCTCAGAGGGAAGCGAATGATGAGCATTATTAAAAACGCTTTGCAATTAAACAGCGCCTTTTCATCTGAAGATTTCAAAGCTTCACAGCGCTCATGCAAAGTTACTTATTATCCCTAGCGTTTAGCAGAGTCAGGAAATGAAGGGGAGCAGCTAAGTGACTTGCCCTAGGTCATGCAGTAAGTCAGCGTCAGAGATGGGAACCTGGCCCTGCGGTGCTGACTGTGCTGTGCCAGGCCTTGTCATGAGGGCACCGGCCTGGGGGGTTCAGGAGGCTGGGGCAGCACTGTGTGGAGCATGGTGTGGAGCAGCCGTGCCAAAATCTGCTCCACACCATGGGGCCTGTTGTGATTGAGCCTGTTGCCCAGATCACTGTTACATTGGCAGCAGCCACAGCTTGAAGCACATACTGTGAAGGGCAAGATGTGGTGTGGGCCCTGTCTCCAACACACTTCCTTCAGCCCGCTGGACCTTCCTTCATGGATGTCTTCTCCAGAGCCCCCTGGAGCTGGATGGCCCAGAACAAGTCGTGCAGGAACAGGAGGGGAGCAGGAGTGGTTGTGCTTACATCAGCACTGCACTGACTGCAGCTGTGACGAGAGGGAGCATCAGATGCCAAACTTGTGTGCCTTGCAGCAAATGAGTTGAGAAAGCCAAGCCTTTGTGCATGGTCCCTTCTCTATCTTCCCATTCCATGCTGGGACTCTGGGGCAGCATGGTGGGACCAAGAAGGAAAGGCTGATGGGGAAAGGAAGAGTGATGAGACAGGCGAGCTTCAGCTGAGGCTCCAGGCCTTGCAGAAGTAAAACACCAAAAAGAACTTTGTGAACTACCACAAAGGGCCACCTACACAGCTATATTTTAAGGTTAAAATGGATTTCCAAAAGGAGCAGCAAATCTACATCTGCTCTTCCATTCTGTCTCGCTGATATTTACCCTAGAAACATCAGAAATATCTACTTCTGTCATGTTGTGTTTTTGTTTTGTTTTGTTCTGCTTTTTTTAAATGGAAGACTCAGGATGCTTCAGGTTTTTTAATAATAAACAAAGCTCTGCTTAAAATACTATATCTCTGTGATGAAGACAGGCATTGCTGGTACAGCTTCAGTTTTCCAAGGGACATATTTAAATAAATAGCAAGAACTAATCCATTTTATCAGCTGTTCTAGGAGCCTGGGGATTTTTGTGTCTCAGCGCTGCTGGGATGAAGCTCCAGGACCAGTGTTCATTATGCATTACCTCACTGGAGATAAAACCCAGCAAGGGGAAAAACTGGAAAGCACAGGCTGCAGTTAAATCAATTTCAAATGTAGAAATGCTATTGAGAATAAGCAGTCATTGCAAGGAGTTATTTTATAAAAGCAAAATAACTGATCGGTCATAAAACCTATGTTTCACAAGTTAGGCAGTTTGCTCTTCTAAATGGCATTAATAAAAAGGGGAAAACATTTTTCCCAGTTGCATATGGCTGAGGAAAACGGGGAAAGAGGAAAAAGAGTGAGATTGCTCTCCAGTAAGAATGATATAGAGGTGAATGTACATAAGGTATGTGCAAAACCCAAATTCTTTTAGCTTTCACTGAGGGTGAGGATGTTAATCATGTGGCTACAGATGAGCATGCTGGTGGGACGGGCAAGGGAAATGTTCACAGGCAGGATAGAAGCAAATCCCAGGGATCCCTCATGCACTGCAGGCAGAGGAACGGGCTCACCCACATGCCAGAGCTCCTGCAGAACTGGCCCCAGTATCTCCAGCACATCCCTGCAGCCAGGGACCGGAGCAGAGCACACGACCTGTGCGCACCGAGAGAACCGATGTGGGCAAGAGCGGGCATGAACACTGCAGCTTAATGGTGTGTGGAAAGCTCCAGCACAAACTGCGAAGGAAAGGACGGCTAAAGAAACGGGGGTAAACAGCATGAGATTAAATGCGTTTGCCAAACCTGTTTATCTTTCTTGGGTGAGGAAAAGCATTTACTTAGTGAGAGAATTGGGGTGGATCTCAGCCCTCTGGATTTAGATTCCAGATGATGCAACATGGAAAGTTCTTAGGAACAGGGAGAAGAGATTTAGGACAAGGTATAAATGAGTGAAACTTGCTGTGAGAGGGGTGGGAGGCTGCCAACCTAGTAGGAGGCTACTGGGGGCTGTTAAGCACTACTCCTGGGAAAGTGCTTTCGGGAATGAGCCTGGTACAAACATTGGTGGAGAACTGGTGAAAATTGCTGATGACAGAAAATATGAAGTGACCTCAGGTCAAAGGAAGCTTGAAATGTTATACATAGGAAAAAAAAAAAAAAAAGCCAGCTGCAAGGAGAACAATCAACAGAAAGAGAAGGTCATAGGTCTGAACCTTCTCCTACATGCAAACTGGCAGCTCATACTTCGATCACAGAATAACTAGGCTGCCAACATCATGGAAGCATGAGAAAAGCAATGAAATCATAGAACACAATGGGAAAAGTGCAGCCCAGGCTGCAGTGAAAGCTGGGTGTACCCAAGGAGAGGCTGTCCCGCTTGATTTTGCAACCAGGTGAATTTCTCTCTGTAAAAGCATCGTGGAAGTGTCTCCCAGGGAGAGAGAGGAAAGACTTAGTGGTGCTAAAGGCCAGTGCTGGTAAAGAGTAAATGAGCAAAAAGATGCATTAGAGATTTTGATTGCTGCTAACCATCTGGTTATCTGGGAGGAACAGCCTCCCAGTTGCAGTCATGCATGCAAAGTATTGAATGGCTTTGAGGACAGAACTTGTTAGGTTTATTAAAGGAATTATATCACATGTTGCCATGATAGGAGACCTGGTGGCCCAGAAGTTCCTGCCAGTCCTATGCACATAGGTAAATATTTTGTAAGCTTCTGTCAATATGTGTGGAGCATGTGATTATACACACACAAAAAGCAGGCACGTGATTTATTAATCACAGTACCTCAGTTTGTCAAATAATAACTACAAGACAATAACACAGCTTGTTTGGTACAAATGGCTCCTGAAGATTTTCTCCCACAGTAAACCAGTAAGAAAAAGACAATTATTCTGAAGTATTTCACTGCTACATGTTTCTGGTTGTTAGACTGTAAATGCTCACTATCTGGAACACTTAACGGCCTTGCACATTTCACAACTTCAGCCCTTCCAGTAAAATGTCTTTTCAGAGGCACGATTGTCTTTGTTAAGGCAAGAATAAACAGATGACAAATGTAACACAGAGGAGACATGCCTGAAACGGTTTTAAAGAGCAAACCCAATTCCAAATTGCCTGACAGGAAGGTGCACAAAGAAACGCAAAGGGGAAAAGGTTTTTGCACACTACCAGGGGCAAGTCCTGGAAAGCCACGGCAGAGATAGTCTGTGTTTCATGAAAACGTTTGTCCAAAACCATCTCAGCAAGTGACACTTGAGCTTCCACACCCAGACAGATATGACCTGCATTCCCCCTGTTGGCCCTTCCTGGGCAGGGGCTGCAGATGCAGCATGGAGCTGCAGCACTGTTGCCAGCTCTTGTATAGAGCTGTAGGAGGATGTTCAGAAGCAACTCTAATTAATGAGCATTAAAAAAGCGAAGGCGTGTTTCAGTATCCTTTCAACCTGGAGCTGATGCTGACTGGTGAGAATGAGATTGCTGTGCTTGCAGTTCATTTGAAGAAGGCACCTTGAAGCCAGTGCAGAAGATGCAAATGAAAGTGCAAGGAGGGAAAAGAAATCAGAAAGCCAAGAGACAGGCAGGCGAACAGAGCAGACGGATTTAGCAGACTCGATATGCTATTGCTGTCTGCATTATGTGTGGAAAGCTGTATTCTAACTGTCACTGCAGCAGAGTAGATTGTGATGAAACAGAACTGCTGAGGTGCCAACATCACAGGTGCTGGCTTTTGAAAACAACCAAAACAGAAAGCAAAACTCTGAAGAAACCCACATTGAGGAGTACAAAGAAAATGCTGGGTGATGTTTTTAAGTAAACACAGCCTCTCTGCTTTTCACTGCTCTCTGGGTGCTGGAGGGCAGATAAACAGTGTGAATCTTGCTGAAGTGTGCTGAAAAGCAAAGGCTGGCAGCAGGAGGGTGCAGGGTGTGTGTGCCCCCGACCCTGGGCTGGCGGAAGGCTTCTCCACGTGTTTTGGGGAACTGCAGCCAACGGATCCCTCCCCTGGGTGTTCTGGGAGGGCTTGGCCAACATGTGAGAAAGGGAGGGGAGAGTCTGAAAACAACCCAGCCAGCGCTAAGGGAAGAAGAGAGCTGGGAAGTGACCTGCTCGCCTCTCTCCCAGCAGTTTGCTCCAGGTGGGAGAGCAGGAGGGGAAAGGAATCCCTGCAGATCCTGTGTGGCAAAGCACGGCGTGGCACAGTGGAGCTCGCAGTTCAGGTAAAAGTGGGATGTTAGCAGCTTTTCCTAACAGCAGCTTGTGTGGGAGCTGAGCAATGGCCAGGAACTGGGTTTGGTTTGCTTTTTCGTGGTTTTTTTTTTTTTTTTTTTTTTTTTTTCTTCCTGAGTTTGAGTGGTAGATGGGAAAGGGGAGAGTGGGATTCTGCCCTCTTGTTTTTATGGGGATTGAGTGCTGTTCATACAGCCGGGGAGGGAAGCAGGGAAGGAGCAAGCTGCTTCCTGCAGCCTGGAGATTAGTACGTAATGGACTATGTCTTTTTAACATTAAGGTTTTAAGGCAAAAAAGGCAAAATGGAGATATCTTTGAGTAGTTTGCTTGATACAACAGGAAGATACAAGTAATCTTGCATGCACATCATTCCTTTTTCAGGTCATAGTGTTCTAGAAATCAGAAATTTTGTACTGCAAATCTAGACAAGATTTTCAGTGGTTGATAACCAGGCTGCTACTAGAGACGTGCAGCAGAAGAAAGGAAAAACACACTGTTTCCTTGTCTGGAAAAGCGCTGGTTGGTTCAGGAGTTTTCCTCTTCTTCTGATTTAATCAGATAGCTTTTGGGCCTTGGAAGTGATCCAGCCCTAAATATTACAAGAAAATCCTCCAGCAATTTTACAGAATGCTTTAAAACAGGTAGTAGCAACAGGCAGGATGCACTGAGGTGTTATTTTGTGGCATCTTCTCTGGTGCGGGTTCCTGTTACTGTATCACCTCTCATTCTGTCATCACTCCTGGCTGCAGAATCTCTTTCAGTTCCTCTGTCTTGCTGTGGGGAAGCTGAATTCCACGATCTTTGTTAATGGATAGATTCTATTTTCCACATCTCAGTGATGATGCTGTAGCATCACATGCTAGGCAGTGAATATGCAAAGAGAAAAGTAGGAAATATTTTTTGATTGATGAGAGAAACATCTTTTGAGAATCCGCCTTATATGAAGAAAGGCTTGTGTGATCATGCCAAGCTGTCCTGCCTGGAACATGGCCGGAACCCGGAGTTATCACAAACAAGAAAGATTTTCTTTCCATTGTGTCTGGTGGGGGAAGTGTTTATCACTAAAAATACAGCAATCATGCCACACAGTCCTTTAAAAGATCACTGTTGTTTTGGTTCTTAAACTTCCTTCTGATGATTCATGCCGAGTAGGGCCAATAAGTGAACACAGCAGCACTTACACAAGGGAAATTTGGCTGCAGTTCAGACTGATTTGGGGTAGAAATACATTGGAATGATATGTAAAAAACAAAACAAAACCTAAAACCAACAAAAGTCAAGTCGTAATGTTGTAATTCCCTCGCTGGCAGCTGAAGAACCCTGTGGTGTTGTGCACTGAAGCAGAATGGCTGCTCAGGGCTCTCAGGCAGGACGGACTGCAAAGGGAGAACAAGGGCTGAAGAAGCTGTTGGGAGGGGCTGAGCAGAGGCAGAGCACTTGACAATAAAACAGGCTGTCACCTGTAATCAGGTGCCTGGTCTTAAGCACTGTGGATAGAAAAAAGGGTAGTGCAAACTAATCTGAGGTAGAAAACCTGTGAGCCGGTGGATGGTATGCAGGCTTTGGTTATCAGCGTGAGTTAGCAGCTTTTCCTAACAGACCTCGCAAAAAAAACGTCGGCTCCGGGACAGCCGTGCTGCTCCTGGGCAGCCCCTGTGATGACCGCACAGAGGAGGGGCAGAGAGGTGCTGTGTGAACGGAAAGGGCCTGAACCTTCCCCCTCCTACCGTTAGCAAGGCGAGGACGAGGTGATGCACCAATTTTCTCGTGGCTTTGTTTAAAACATAGCAAATATTGATTTTTTACAGTAGGAGCACACGCTGCTGAGCAGCCAGGCCCTGTGCAAGCAGGCTGGGCAGGCAACGAGCGCAGCTGCACAGGGAACCCCGCTGAGCACCGCCTGCTCTCCACACGAGAGGCCCTTCCCGCCCCCACACCGACGCGGCCGACATGCTTCCCCCCCGCCCACCGTGCCTTTCCTTTCCTGCCACCCTTTTCCTTTCCCCACCCACCCGCCTCTCTTTCTTCCCGCCGATTGGCTGCGGCAGCGGGCGGGAGTCAGCCAATCGGAAGCGCCGCTCTCCGCCGTGTCGCTGGGGGGAAGAAAACAAAAACAAGCAGAGACGGGGCGCGCGCGGCTTGGGGGCGGGGCCGAGCGAGGCCGAGCGGAGCCGAGCCGAGCCGAGCGGAGCCGAGCCGAGCCGCCGGTAACGGTCCTGCCTCGGTGTGAGGGGGCTCGGCAGGCTGCCCGCCAGGTATCCGGGCCGCGGTGAGGGGCGGCTCTCCGCACCCATCGCTGAGGTAACCCCTCGCTCAGGGGGCGGTGGGAGGCCGTGAGGCGGCGCTGGGCCTGCGGCGCGGCGCGGGGCGGGCCGGCAGCGGTGGCTCGGGCGGCCGCAGGCTGTGAGCGCTGAGAGGGCGGTTTGCGCGGGAGGGAGGTGCCGAGCGGCTCCGTGTGGCGTAACGCGGCGGATTTTATCCGTACGGTGATAAAAGCGAGGTGCTGGAATTGGAGCAAGGCAGAACCCGGGCTGGGAGGAGGCGTTGCGGAGCTGAGGGCGGTCGGCATGGCAACGGGGATGGTGGAGCTCGGTTATTCCACGTCCTAGTTACAGACAAAGCGGGGTGCTGCGTCCTGACGGCGTATGGGGGCTGTGCTGACTGTTATGCTGCCATATGGGGAGGATTTCAGTTAGGGCTCCGTGAGGAAGAAGTATGCCTCTGCCTCGAAGGGAGAGCCTTGTTACTAACGGTGAATGCCTTCCTCTTGATTGTTGTTTAATGCCGGCTTTGTGTCTTGTCTGCTTTTTATAAGAGGTGGACCAACAGATGGAACATTCCACTAGGAAGAACGAAACTGTTCTTACAAGGTAATTTGCTCCGGTTAGATTGAAGTCTGCTCAGGGAGGCTTGTGGTCAGCGGTGACTGGGAGCGCTGGGAACACCTGAGTGATCAGCTGAGGTAAGTTGGGAGCATATTTACTTAAAAAAAATAAAACCTGTGGGCTGGGGAGGACTTCATAGTCCATTAAATTGTTAACTGTTGAGACAGATGTTGAGAAATAACCAGATCATGAGAGCTCAGCGCTGTGCCCTAAAACGGTTACTTTATTTTCAACGGTCTGGGCTGAATCATGAGCAGTTAATGGTTCTGTGGTAGGAAAGTGGGTATGAGAGGGAAAAAAAAGGAAAGAAAAGCGGAAGGGAGGAATGTCATTTGGTGTCACAATGTGACGGCTCAACTGTAAGCAGTTTTCAGGGCAGCAAAAGGTGAGAAAGGGTCTGAATTCTTGTGAGATGGACACGTGCCAATGGTACTTGCAGTGCTACAGGGTGATAAGTGAAAATCTTGCGGGTAAAAAGGTGTGTGGGGATTCATGAGGCTACACTAGTTTTGTGTAAATAAAGATGGATGGGATCCTTTTCACAGTTACCTGTGGTCATTTGTAGAATAGCAGCTGCTAGGAAGAGCGAGTAACAGAAAAAAGAGAAGTGTTGGGCTGTATCCCTTGCTGATTGGCACAGAAGCGTGTGAAAATTTGGCAGCTGTACATCGACATAGTGTAAAATATAAAAACTGTGTTCCTGAAGGGAGCAATTAAAAATGTCTTGTTTTCTAAAGGTTTGTCTGAACTTGATAAAGTGGTATCATTTTATCACTATAGTTCAACTTGGAGACTGTTTGTCTTATGGATGCAATTACAACATTAATGCTGTATGCTTATATAGATAACTGCTCTGCAGAAGTGAACAGTCTCAAGTTGATAGAGGTCACTTATCAACTTAAGAAGGCTGCATATGGAGGGCTTTTATCCTAAACGTAATGGCTTTTATCCTGGTTCCACCTTTATAAGCAGCAGAACTGACAAGTGCTAAGACATCAAGGCTTAAATAGACGTGTTTAAGGGTGGTGCTTTCTCATGTTACATCTTCTACCTTCCCAGGAATTTTTCAGTGGATACTGGTAGTTAATTATAACTTAAAAAACATTTATTTTTGTGGGTGAAGCCTTTGCAGCTCTTTATTCCTTCAGGAGTTACTCTAGCGCTTTTCTTCCCCCTAAGCTTCTCCATTTTTGTTTAGGCCTTGAAGGGAGAACGTTAAGACTACATTTCATTGTCAGTTCTGTTCAGCAGCTATGGAAATAGAAAAGCAGCATGTTTATGTTAGCACAGTAGGTAAGTAATGTATTCAGTATTCTTTTTGCCTAAAGTTGCTTATCTGACCTGAGCTGTTCTCTGTTGTAAGTTGCATTTCTGGTTATTTTAAAAATAATACTACTATATATATATACACACACACACACATATATATATATATATATATATCTTCATCACATATTTACAGAATTGTTGTTTCATCTATGTATTACAGTATCCTGCTTGATGTTCGTTTTGAACCTCCTTTAAAAGCAGTCAGACACTTAACATATCTCTAATAAGTTACTGGATAGTGACTCTGGACTCCTTGTATGCTATTTCAGTAGTGCAAATTTGAAGACAGAGGTAAATTCAAATGTGCAGTATGAAGGTACATTTAGAGGTGCAGGTTCAGCCTTACCTTTCTGTCTAGCTTAAGATTAGAAGAAAGGCTTGGCTAAAGTGAGCAGCAATGGGAAAACATTACTGAACGCATGTTATGCTGTCTTGAAATTGATGACTTTGTCCACATAAAAAGTGCTACATTATGCTTAGTCTGATTAATGCAATGTCAAGTTGTGAGGGTCTGCACTGACCTTTCTATCCCAGTGAGTTGTTGTAAGTTTTAAATGATTTTTAGAAAAAAATACAGGTTAAGATGATATGTGACACAGCTGAAGTTGCATCATTTTTCCTATGAACTCCTACTTTAAACCAGAATCAGTTCACTGTAGTAGGTTGCTTTTCAGCATTTTAGAATTACATTTGGGTGGTAGAGAAGAAGCTGTGAGATATCTGAACAGATCTAATTTGGTCGGATGAAACTTGTGGGTAGGGAAGTACTTGCTGAGTGTTCTTTTTGGTACTTCTTGCTGCAGAGTACCACAGATTTTAACTGGCTTAATAGCAGATTAACAAGAACAATTTGGGTAACTTTTTAACACATGGCAAGTAAAGCCTTAGAGTGTACAGGACATGTTGTTGCTTGTATGTGTGTGTATAGATATGATGCCACAGTGAGAAGCTGAAAAAAAAGCATGTCATTTGATGTATACATTTTATAAAAAATGATTTTTAAAAAATAAAAGTATTCCAAATTAGTAAAAGTTGAATCTGTTTTCTCCAGAGTAACGAGGTAACTAATAGTGGAGGGGCAGCAGGTCGCAGTGTTGTACAGAAAGAAGCTGCAGCTCCGAGTTGTATGCTGCTATATTAAATAATAAATACAATACAGTGTGCAATTTGAAGTCACATAGGCTGCAAAGGATTGCATTTAGTCTCAAACCTGAGATCAGGAAGGTGTGTGGAGACTGTCCTGTAGCCTCACTTTTTTCCTTAGCAAGGAGTGACTTGTTTTCATTAATTGGTGACCATTTCCTTTGAAAACTGAGGGAGAATGAAGCGATCAGTGAAGCGTGGGGTCTAAACTGGAGAAACAAATGGGAGGCTGGGCTGGGAGTTCAGTTAGCTGAGATGAGCTGGTTCTGCAGAGGGCTCCCTGGGGAATTCACAGAAGAAAACCTGTTCTCTTCAGCTTTGCTTTTTTGCCCTGTGCTAGCTTTATGCAAATCTTTCATTGTAGTATTAAAATATTAGACAAACTGAGAATGCTTGTTGTGGGAATGTTTTTCAGTAAAGGGACGTGGTTTTTCTCTTCTTAGCTTGCTGCAAGCTTAAAGGGAATACTTTTGTGGGAGTACAAGCTTAATACAAGAGTGCTTGTGTTACTGTTCAGCTGTAGCATTCACAGCTGTGTGCTCCTGAACGGTGGTTCTGTGATCATGAAGCAGGCAGTTGCATCACGCTGTCATCATTTTGTAGTGCAGTATCCTCTTTGATATGGATATGCACTTTGAGGTTAGAAATATTTTATTAGAGTGCTTTGCTTTCAAAACCCATTTTCATGAGCCTGTTTTGAAACGAGAAAATACAGTTCTGGAGCTATTGTCAAGTGGACGTTTTTAATGGAGTGAATTGGAATGGTAAAGTAATATATTCAGCTACGTTCAAATCACAGTTTAAAATATTCTCCATGTTGTGGGTTTATGGCTATGAACGTTTCTGTGAAGCAGGTTTGGCACAGCTGGAAAAGCAGCTTCTGTGTGCCTCATCTGTGTGCATCCTTGGGCTGTGGCTGGAAGTTGTATCTGTGAGTCTTCTGACTGCAAGAAAAGGAGGCTGCGTAACAGAGCTCAGGTTGTTGCCTTTGTGTGTGTCATTAATTCACACGGAGTCCCAGAGTGCTACCTGGAATATTAAGCAGGTCCTCAATTGCTTTTCTTTATTATTATGTATTATTCATCTTCATGAGTTGAGGAAGATGAAGAAATTACAAAGACTTTGGCACTTAAAACGTTCTACTGATCCATAGAGTTTGTGTGGGAAGCTTCTTTGTGAAATAAGACTTAATCCACACATAAGATTTGGATCTGACTTCACAAATGAGTGACATTATTGCACTTCTCAGTGCTCTGAAACATTTGTGGGTGTTGTAAGAGGGATTTTTTCCTTCTACAGAGGGTGTTTTAAAAGGAGACCAAGCTAGTTAACTGTTACATATGACTGCAGCGAGGAATAAACCGTGGTGACTTTTAGAAACAGTCTTGCCTTAGCAGACAATAAGGAACAATCCCTAGGGAAGTGAGATCATGTTGGTTCAGAACATTTATTCTGAGTCTTTGTTTTCAAACTCTCCAAGTTTTGTATTAAACAGCTTTTTTTTCTTCCTTCAAAAACAGAAATTAAAGCAATCTCGTACGCAGGCTTTTGTGTGTCTGTCACTGATTTTCCAGACAGTGAGCCTTGTTTGAAGTTCCTCGAATGAGAGGAATGCTGGTTGATGATGTAGGAAATTAATTACAAAGTCACTGTGGTGACTGTTCAGTTAATGGCATTGAGTTCTTACAACATTCACTGCACGGACAGTTGTTTTTTTCCACAACAAGCATTGAGTGGGAGGAGTGATAACCAGTCACATAGGTCTTATGCACTGTGGAATTCTGATAAATTGTTTAACAAGGGTGGAGTTTTCTGTGGTTTACCTATTTATAAATGGTTCATTCGTTTGCTTTCCAACTATTAACATAAGCTCTGTTTAGATTGTGGGTAGTATGTGTAAGGGGATAAGGAACTCCTTATTACTGTGATGTGTAGACACATCTAAATAAAACATCACCATTTATCTGTTGGAAGTAAGAGTAGTATATAATGTTGTAAGCCATTTTAAATGCAGCGTCCTCTGGTATTTTAACATAAACCAGTTCAAAGCAATAACAGATTTTTCACTGTGTTTTCTTTTAAAGAAGTGGAGAATCTGAGTGATGCTCTGTTCTCCGGCGATGAAGAAAATGGTGGCTCTGAGGAACGAAAGACTGAAATCAACGGCAATTGGATTCCTGCAACTTCTATTACCGAAGCCAAAATAAATGCTAAAGCAAAGAGGCGGTTGAGGAAGAATTCTTCAAGAGATTCTGGGAGAGGAGACTCTGTTAGTGAGAATGGAGAGACGCAGAAGGCTGGGCTGGTTGTACCAACAAGCCCTAAGGGGAAAGTCCTGGACAGGCGCTCCCGGTCTGGGAAAGGAAGAGGTCTTCCAAAGAAAGGTCGGTGTGGTTTGGTGATGAGAGTAGCTGGTAAAGATCCTGTCCAGAATGCAGTGCTGGTGTTTTTATTGAGAACTGCATTCGCAGCACACAGTCTTTGTGCAGGCACTTGGTTCTTTGTTAGTGGCAATAGGAGTTAATTGCAGGTGGAATCTTACCAGGAAAAAATTGTGTGTATTCTTAAATAACTTTAAGTATCTTTTATTAGTAAATTGAATACACAGGCTTGAACTGTTGTGGTCAAGTGGTTCGCAGAAGTGTTACCAGTGTAAACTGAGGGCTTGACTATATTTAGAAGTACAGTTGTTTCAACCTTCGGTAATTCTTGTGTGCTTCTGTGCACTCTGCTTTTAATATCTTAGTGGAAAGTAACGAAAAGGCTGCTTGCTGAATGTCATACAGATGCTTCTGCCATTTTCAGCATATGTTGCCAGAGTCAGTGGCTACAAGCACACCTGTGAGTGAAAGAATGTTGGGTTGTGTTCAAAGTCTTGTTTGTAAACTGTCTGTCCTTGCTTAATTTCTTACTGTTCTTTATTTTGCCAGGTGGAGCAGGTGGTAAGGGAGTCTGGGGAACACCAGGTCAAGTGTATGATGTGGAAGAAGTAGATGTTAAGGATCCTAATTATGATGATGACCAGGTAGGCAAACAAATTTATTTGCTCAGCGCTTGTTTTGATTTTATATTAATTAAAATTACTGTGATGCTCATATTAATAAATGCTTAATCTCACAAGTTATATGGATGTTTGACTGGCTGTATTAAGTACTCGTTTGTTTGTTTGAGAATGGATGATTGACTTAAAGAAGACTGGTATAGAAGTGTTGCAATATTTAGCATGCTCAGGTCTTACACCCAAGCCCTCCTTCTGTGCCTGACTAGGCAGTGTGCTTTTCCCAGGTGTGTTCTTCTCTTGCTGGTTGTCATGGAGGTGAATGCTGCAGTGCTGCTCGGAGTTGCATGCAGGCTCTGCGTTAAAGTACGACACAGACTGCAGTTGGGAGTTTAGCTCATGAGGTTACCTGCTAGGGGTTTCTTTCTTCTTTGTATCTCCAACACTGTGGATACAATATCTTGTATCTTCTTGGTGCAAACACTTGAAAGCGGTATGAAGTTGAGGACCCGGATTTTCTGTTTATTTACATATATTTATTTAGGATATGTTGTGGAAGATTCTGCTTTACAGCTATGTAAACACCAACAAAAAGAAAGCCATTTCCTCAATAAATTTTTATCAGATTAAATCTCTGAGATTACAGGCACAGATTATTGATGTCTCTGTGACAGATGCATTTGTGAGACCGTAAATAAAGACCTTGTAACAACAGCAGAGTGATGGTGGTGTTCTTTGAGCTGCAGCTTTTTGTTGTAGCACAGCTGCTGAGATGATGCTCTGTGGGTATCTTAGAATCCCTTCTTCCACTAATTCATTGCAGATTAGCAGACAGCTATTGAAAATGAAGTTGATGAATGCATAAAATAAGTTTGTATGAAAATTGAGAATTGCATTAAACTCCTGCTTAGCTTTTCTAAGATTGTAAACAAAGTGTTATGATAGAAGAAGTAGGCTTTTGGATTTCTGCTGTAATTCTTGGTCCTAGAATATTTCTTTTCTATAAGTATCAGTTGGATATTTCTTTGAAACTGCAGCAATCTGTAATATTGCTCTGAATGTTCTGTAGTCTGTGAGGAACTGAATCACACTGGGGAGTCTTGGCAGTGCTAGAACTCTTCAGGACCAGTTGCTGCATAAGGTTTTCCTCTTAGGGAATAGCTTGGCTTACAGATGTTCTGGAGGTGCTTTCTCTGTCTGACAGATCTGTACATGCTGTCACCTGTCTGATCATGAAGACCCCCTGAGGAAGGGGGCAGACAGGCAGGCTTGCTGGCAGAAGTGTCAGTTGCAGGGAGTTGCTAAAAGTTTAATCTTGTGGAACTGATAATTCTGTGGGGCTGGGGTAGGAGTTTCTGTCACCGTCTCTTGAGTACCAGGGTACTTGATTCTGTGTTCACGTGGTGTCAGAAGAATGCTAGGAGCAGAGTGTGGAGTATTTGCTGCCATTTAACAGTGAATTCAGTTAACACTGAACTCAAAATACAAGAAGTATGACATTTAGCCAGCACTGTCCACACTTCAACCATAGGGACATAATCTGATACTTTCTGGTGGAACACTGACTATGAGGACTAAAGCATTAGAGGTATGGATTGTGTTTTGATGCTGTTAGCACTTCATAAAAATCTTTATGTTTTGTTTCCTTTTGAAACAGGAGAATTGTGTCTATGAAACAGTAGTTTTACCTCTGGATGAAAGAGCATTTGAAAAAACCTTAACACCGATCATACAGGAATATTTTGAACATGGAGATACCAATGAGGTTTCGGTACGTCGTGTGCTTTACACTTATTTTAGGGGGCAAACTTACAGTGCACAAGTGAGTCTCGAGTGCTAGCTGTAAATGAGTGTTTGCCAGAAAAGTGCATTAGAAGTTAATTCATGACATAGGTAGAAGCATACGTGTAATTGTGGAAATATTTGTTAACAACGTACATTTCTATCATGGTGAGATCTTAACCTGTTTTCTTTTACAAATTTTATTTTAGGAGATGCTGAAGGATTTAAACCTCGGTGAAATGAAATACAGTGTGCCAGTGCTGGCTGTTTCCTTGGCACTAGAGGGGAAGGCCAGTCACAGGGAGATGACATCTAAGCTTATCTCTGACCTTTGTGGGACAGTAGTAAGCAAAACTGATGTGGAAAAATCATTTGACAGACTGCTAAAAGATCTACCTGAATTGGTGTTGGATTCTCCCAGGGCACCACAGGTATACTGACAGATTTTTATGGTGGTCATCGAAAGTTTTTCTTTTTAAATTGTGCCTAAAATTAACGAAGCGAAATGAAGTAAGACTGTATTTTGATAAATAGCTATGGAGAGCCTTCCAGTTTGTAATCCCTGTACCCAGTTCCCCAGGCCATGCTTTTACACTGAGGTAAAAAATAATAAAATCTGAAAACCAAGCGTATTGCACTTGTCTGCTTGAAACTGTTTTCAGATTCAACTTTTACTTAAAAGTGTTTCTGTTTTGTTGTAGTTGGTGGGCCAGTTCATTGCCAGAGCTGTTGGAGATGGGATTCTGAGCAGTACTTACATAGATGGCTACAAAGGCACTGTGGATTGCATCCAAGCTCGGTAAGTTTCTTGCGGTCTATAGCTGTGGTTTTCTATTTCAAATGCCTAATAAAATCAGGAATTTGGGACATGGACCATTTGGTTCTCAGAGTTCATTTCTGATTTCAAGCAATCAAAAACGTGCAGTCTGCAATAACAACAAAACCCAGATTTGCTCAGGTCAGCTAAGAAACGCTGGAAGTGCCTTAAAAACACACGGATACGTTTAGGTCAGTTTGTGGGGTTTGTTGTCCCACTTCAGTTTGAATGGGGAGCCTGAGCTGAAACAAGAAGTGGTTATAAAAGGTTTTGTCTTTAGGAAAAGCTTTAATGTGACTAATGAGTTACAGTGTCAGCACAGCTGCTTTAAAGTTGTTGTGAAATGCACAAGGGATGAAGTGTTTTGCCTCATAAAGGTTTCAAATTTGTATATTTTGTAAGTTTGTATATTTGCAGTGTATTTTCCTAGAATGTGGCACTTTATTCATCAGTAAATGTTTTCAGTTCCAGGCTGAGATGTTTCAAGGAACATCAGAGAGAAGAGACATTGTAATAATTAGCCATGTTTTTTTTTTTATTGTTTCTTCTCCCATAAGTGTTTCAGACTTGGATAATGAGGTGCTGAACTCCTAAAACTTATAAAAGTTCCATTTGTTCTGATTAAAGCTGCATACTTCTATGCATACTTCTAGGAAGAAGGCCAGGGCTGAGCCGCCTAATTTGGGGGTTAAAGTTGTGAAAACTGGTAGTCTGTTACACAAGTTTCTCTTGTGGTATGAAGGGTTTTAGCCTGCATGTTGCACATCTGGGATGTTTTGCTGCCACTGCAGTTTTTTGGTCAGTCTTTGCTGTGTGTTAAATCTCAGTGAGTAGCGGTTTTTTCACTAACACTAATATGAGCACTGGGAGATAACTGGTCCTTTTTTAGCTGGATAGTGCTTCACTGGATCTGCCATTTCTTCTTTTTCTCACCTACTTCAGTTTTTTCATCTCTTCACAACTACGTATTTGCCTTCTGAAATGCTGTTTGAGCTTGAACTCCAAAGTTTCACAATTTTTTGGATAGCAAATTTATTTCAGCACGAAAGTCACTTCTGTTTTGAGATGTACCTGCCAAGCTGCATCCTTGGAGCAGTCCAGCTACAATTCATCTCGAAAAGAAACTGTTCTTTCCTTTGAGAGCACTTCAGGTTCTGCACTGATGATTCAGACCTCCTGCCTTTGCAGGATTCTTCCCTGTCCCGAGTTCAGTATAACCAAGAGTGTAAAGGTGGTGTGGCCTCTTCCCAGTCAGGATCACTTTGACTGAAGAGAAGTGATAGATGTGGTGGGGGATTGCTGTGGATGTTACAGGTGTCTTCCAATGAAGTTTCCTCACTTCCTAAAACACTGCCTTTACTTTCTAGAGCTGCACTGGACCGAGCTACTGTGTTACTGAGTGTGACAAAGGGTGGAAATCGCATAGACAACGTGTGGGGCTCAGGAGGTGGCCAGCAGTCTGTGAAACACCTTGTTAAAGAGGTAGCTGACTTCTACAAGTCTCTTCCCTCCAGAGTTTACTCTTTAAGCTTATCTAGTTTGGGATGAGCAGAGAAATACACATATTCTGCAGCTAAATGATGTTTGGTGTCATTTTTAAACAAATGTTCTTATTTCAGTTTGTTTCATACAAAGTAGGTTTTGAAAATCGATGATCATTTTGCTGATGGACGTGGCTATCATTAGTGACCAGTGGTGGAAACATACTGGTTCATATTCTGCATTGCAAGTGCAGCTATTCTTGCTTCAAGCTAAACTTCAAGCACTTACTGTTAGGGTTTATAGTACAAAATGGTGAAGTAATGTTAGATTACAAAAGAAGTTTATTTCTTGGCGCCAGTGACTAAAAGCACAGCAATAACTTGAAAATAAAAGAGGCTGGAAGGATTGTGCAAACTTAAGAGATTCATGCCATGAAGTAGGTGGAAGGTTTAAAATAGTCATGATGTAATCTCTCGTGCTGTGAGTGCAGCAGATGATAAAGAGTTCAGGCATTAAGATAAACTGACAGTCATCACTTGCAGCAAAGCTTTTAGTGCTAGCACATCTGTATTATGCTACAGAGAGAGGTATTGGGCTTACACTGCGTTTCAGGTTGCTGTTCATGCCTCAACTTAATTACATTTACTAGAACTCCAGCTGCAGGTTTCAGGAGCTGGCTTGCTACTAGGTTGATCACAGATCACCAAAAGAGTTGGTGAGACAGCTTTTAAATCTTGTACCTAACTAGTGATGGGTGTTTTGCTTGTTTTAAAATGCAATAGATTGATATGCTGCTGAAAGAGTACTTGCTTTCTGGAGACCTGCTGGAAGCTGAACGTTGCCTTCAGGAACTGGAAGTACCCCATTTTCACCATGAACTTGTATATGAGGTAAGGAGAAATGAGTCCCTCTAATGACTGCCAGTACCACCAACGGGTTTTGTTTTGATGTGGGTATGCATGCAACTGGAATTTAAAGCTCAGTTGCAAGTTTTGATGTTACTTAAATTATTTCATGTAAAGTTAATGGTTTATATGCTCACTTGTGTGTTGTGCAACTAGCTGCTGGTCCCTCTGGGAAGACCCAGAATGACATTTTGGTTGTTGGGTTCAGACAAACATCTGACAAATAAGAGCCTAGCTTACTTTCTGCTGAGGAATACCAGCAAAAGCCCCAGGTTGTATTGGAGTTTATTTCCTTTTAAATACACATTACAACAGATTTCAGACATCTGGGTATACCAACAGGTGTTACCTGTTTTTGTTAAGTTGTAGTTTCCTTTTCAGTGTGGAACTGTTCCATCTAAGTACGTGTAGAAGGCTGAGATAATTCAGAACCACACTATATGAGAAAGAACTCTGCTGTATCTAGTAGTTGAAATGGTTGTTTACCAAGAAAGCCAAACACTCAAAGTTATAAAATTATCTTTTCAATAAATTGACTTCTTATTCTAGGATAGAAAACGGACACCTGTTGTTGATGGGGTTTGTGGAGACTGGTACATTTTGAACTTAGGAGTTCTTGTTCTAAAACCCTAGATACAAAATTAATTGCCATCAGTGCTGCAGCAGCCATGCAGATGCAGTTACGTACCCCTCACAGTAGGCAGGGCTCTTCACTCCATCTGGTCCTTTCTCTTTTTTCATATCTTCTATCTTTACACAAATAACTTTCTATCAGGCTTTCCTTTCAAATTGGGACTGCTTGTAGCAACTGGACTTGTCTCCCAGAAAACACACAGTGTTACATTCACTCTTCTTTGCACGTGGGTGTGCTTACACAGCATGTACTCGAACCACTATTTTCTTTTTAGTTAAAACCTCTGCATGGTTTGTTTTAGGCAATTGTGATGGTTTTGGAGTCAACTGGAGAAAAGACCTTTAAAATGATGCTGGATTTGCTGAAATCTCTCTCGAGGTCTTCTGTCATTACTATGGACCAAATGAAAAGAGTAAGTATGGCATTGAAAGAATGCTAAGCAAGATCTTCAAGTAGCTTCTATTTTCTTTTAAACGCTATTTGTAATTTATTGCATCTCTCATTGAGATGTGTGGCCTTCACTCTATCTACAGGGCAGAGCAATTAATCCTTCTTCCTTGTGTTACTAGCAGCTAGGCTATCGTATGCAGTCTGTACTGTCTGGATTTCTGTCTTTTTAAGAAGCTGAAATACTCAGCTAGTGTATTCATATAGATACGCTGTTGTGTAACACCAGCTCTTGGAATGGGCTGGTATGACACCTTGTTTTGCCACTAATTTGCAGGTGTTCTGCTTTCAGTTTGTTGAAACTGCTTAAAGAATATATGAGATTGCATTAAAAAGAAGTCCTCTTCTGAGTGCCAAAAGATGTTTAGAAAACTGTAATTCTAGAACAACCAAATCATTATTTGCATCCTTAAACTACAGGGCTATGAACGAGTTTACTGTGAAATACCAGACATTAACCTGGATGTGCCACACTCCTATTCTGTGCTTGAGCGGTTTGTAGAGGAATGTTTTCAGGCTGGAATCATCTCCAAACCACTGAGAGACGTCTGTCCTTCAAGGTACTTGCTTTATTACAAAGAGGTGCTGGCGCTCAGTTTGAAAGCAGGATCTTATAACCTGGGTGTGACAGGCTGGTACAGAGACTAGGGAAGATGGAGGAACAAAAAGAGCAGGGTGGATACGTATCTGAGGGAAGTGAGCCTCTGCTGGAATCCCCGGCAGCGTGCTTATGTGCTGCAGCAGATGAAGGCCTGCCTCTCCTCTCAGTTTTGCTCATTTGTTTGGCAGAGATCAGCGCAGTGGAGCTGGAAGATTCAGGAGTTTTAATGATCCGTGCAGACAAACCTGAAGGGGAAAAAAAAAAAGTTTTAAAACAGTTTAAAACATTGTAAACTGAACTGAGTTCCAGGATTAGACACCAGTCGTAATGTTTTTGTCAAAAAGCAACAAGGCATTTATGTGGCAAAATCTCTACATACCTGATTTAAAAAAAAAGGCAACCATGAGATGCACGAATATTGTAGTGTTCTCTGTTTCATTATTGTTTTACTGTAGCTAATCAGTGTTCTGTATTTTCAGTCAGAATACAACCTGTAAATTTCATTTCCTATGGGGAATTCGTAAAAGTTTAAATTTGATGCTAAAACTATTCATGATTTCATGCATCAGAAACGCTGTCAGGTATTTTCCAGTCTGTCTGTATCTCAGTATCAACTTGCACGTGGGTTTGGTAGGGCTGAAAGTCATTGCTGTGACAAAAGCTGGATTATACTGCAGCTCTCATCAATATACTGAGGTGTTTTGAGCTTGTATTTCAGTTTGGGGTAGAAAAATACCATTTTTAGGCTTTCAAGCTAGCAGCTTTTAGAAGTGTGAATGGTAATGTTCAACATTAAACGGTTAGGAGAGTAGAAATTTGAACAGCCTAATAACCTTAGATGTAGCATTCGGGTGCCTTAGTTTGCTAGTGATCATGACTCATTCTGCTCATCTCATACACCTCGCATTTGGCTCCCAAGACCAAGAGAAGATTCTTCACAATGACAGATGGGCAGAAGAAGTGATGCTGCTGTACACTTGCTGAAAATATACTTTCTACTTTTTTTTACAGGGGCAGGAAGCGTTTTGTGAGTGAAGGAGATGGAGGCCAGCTTAAGCTAGAAAGCTACTGAATGTTGGAACCAACTGCTGAAGACTTAAAAGCTGAAAGGGAAAAAAGATAGGTATCTAGATATATATATATATATATACAAACACACAGGCCTTTTTGGCACGTGTGCATGTATGTATGTATATGCATATATTATATACCAAATTTCTAAGAGTTGCTTAGCACAGTTCATATTTTTTTAAGAGCACATGTTTTGGGTACAGATCATTTTTTTTAAATAGTTTTATAAATTTCAGAAAGAAAAGTTCTTTCTCCGGGCATCCAATAGACCAACTGGCCACTCTGTTGTGGTGCCTTCAGATAAGCTATCTTTTTGTAAGTGCCATGTTTATGACCTGTCATTCCATGTTTGCATTCACATTTGACTGCCGCTGTTTCTTTCAAGGACAGTGTTTTCATTGTACAATCCCTGATTTATACAGAGCTTTCTAGAGGGGTCAGGTTAAGCCGCTGTGATCCCCTTCGTTGCTGCTGCTGAAATACTGTGCTTTGGGAGGAAAAATAGCTGTTTCTTTGTCTTAAAGAGCCCAAGAAATGAGAGCTGGGTCATTGGACAAGTTCACCTGTTCCACTGGTCGGTTTTAGGTATTCCAGCCAGCACGTACCAAACCGGTCCTTTTTTCTATGTAACTGGAAAAGTGAAAAATTCTGGTAAAAACATATTAAAAATATTTTTTGTGAAGCTCTCCTTCCTGCCTTTTGCTTTTAGGCTGTTCCAAACTCTGAAGCACGTGCACTGCGCAGCACTTCTGTCACCAATATTTGTATTACAATAGGTGTTAAGTACAGAATGACGGACAGTCCTGAAGGGGACCCGACCCACAAGGTGTGAGTCCAACTGCTGGCTCCACACGCGGTCACGCCACGTTCAAGCCGTGTTTCTAAGAGCAGCGCCGTGCCGAGCCGTGCCCGCTGCCCTGGGGCAGCGCCTGTCTCTACCCGCCCCTGCCCGGCCGCAGCTCTGTGCCGTTCCCCGGGGCTCAGTCGCTACTCTTGCAGAGCAGCAGAGCTCGGCTGCCCCTCCGCTCCCTGGGAGCAGCTGAAGGCTGAAGTAATTAAACTAACGGTACGAATGTACGGTGCGGAATTAACAAGCCTTTTATCGCAGTGCCCCTGTGCCCTCTCAGTGCTGCACCGTGGCCTCAGGCGGGGACGCAGCTGCGGCTCTGCGGGAGGAAAGCCGCCTCCTCGGGCCGCGCGCGTCCGTTCGCAATGCAACCGTGCGGGAAGAACGAGACGAAAGGAGGCCCCGGGCCGCTCGGCCGGTACCTGGCACCCCGCCTAAGGCTGCGGCTGTGGGCCCGCAGTGCCTTCGGGTGGCCGCGACGCCTCCATGGCCGCGCGCTGCAGCTGCTGCAACTGCTCCAACTTCTCCAGTGACACCGATTTGAGGGGCAGCACCTTCGGCTTGCACAGCACCATGCCGGCAGCGTCCTCCACCGACAGCTGCCCTGCGAAGAAGACAGAGCAGCGCGTCAGCCGCCTCGCGACGGTGCCCGTGGCCACGTCCCGCCCGCCGGCCGTACCTTGTTTGGGCAGCACCTCCCGGAACGCGCCCTTACCCTCCGGCATAGCGCCTTCCGACCACACGCGCATGCGCCGGGCTGCCCGGAAAGCCACACATCCCGGCATGCGCCGCGCCCGCAAGCAGTGCATGCTGGGGGTTGTAGTCCTTTGGGGAGGGGGAGAGAAAGGCGTCGGCCGAGGGGGAAGCAGCTGGTTCTGCAGCGCGGCGCCGTGCCGGCTGCTGTCGGCGCACGCTGGCTCGGCTGCGGCCGGCCTGCCTGAGTGCGTACAGCTGGCGTGGCCGCGAGGCGCGGGGACCGCTGCTTTTCATAAAAAGCCAGCGGGTACCGACCGACGGGGGGGCTCTGCCCGGTCTGACGCGTTCCCGAGTTCGTCTCCGGGCAGCGCCTCGGGGTTCGTGGGGTGAATCACGCTGCTGGTTAGAAGGTAAAAGCCTCGAAGGTCGAGGGCATAAATGCAGCCAAACCAGCCCGGCCGGTGCGCCGGGATCCCCCCCGCAGAGCGCGGATTTGCATTTCCGAGCTCCCTCCCGCCGCTCTGCAGCAGCTCGGCGCACAGCCGCCTGCAGCGCGGGGCGGTGCGGATAGGTTCAGCTCACAGCCCTCGGGACGGGCCTGGCCCGCCCTCCGGAGCTGCCGTACCGCAGCTCTCGCCAGTGAAGTTGCCTGTGTTCCCACACGCACTGTTTGTGTTGGCCGTGGGTTCCTCGAGGGTCTGCAGGTAACAAAGTCTTCACAGTAAGGGTGGTGAGGCAGTGGCACAGGTTGCCCCGAGAGGCCACGTGTCGCGTCCCTGCAGACAGCCGGGGTCAGGCTGGATGGACTCTGAGCACTGATGGAGCTGTAGGTGTCCTTGTTCAGGGTAGGCGGCTGGACCCGATGGCCTTTAAAGCTCCCTTCCAAATCCAGCTTCTTACAATTCTGTGATAAATTCTGTGCTGGCCATGTGCTTCCCTCTGCTGTCTGCTATGGAACCTAAGGCACTCTATGGTCTACAGTAAGACCTGGGATAAACCTTTAACTTCCAGTAAGCAGCATCTCTCTGACAGTTATTTAAAGCCTGTCTGCATTGTTCCAGAACTATTTCCTTTTTCCTCTAAGGCAACCTACAGTAGGAAACTGATGGTCCCTTGTATAATCAATAGATATCAAGATGTTATAATCACAATATAATCAAGAGAGTTAAGCAAAGTAGACAACGATAACAAAAGAGAATAAGTGGAAGAGCTCACCACAAAACACCAAGAGAGGTGATCTCCAGAAGAGATCCTTCCCCTCTCGTAGCCAGCTCTTAAATAGGTCTCTGGTCTTAAATAGTTATGAAATGAAAATTGTGTGCTGTGAAACCAACAGTTACTCCTGTGGTAATAAATTTGGTCTGCAGAGAAAGAGAAAATGAACTGAAAGCAAAACGTTGAAATCAAATTGTGGGATAGGTTTTTTGACGTTGTGGATGACCATGAGGATCGGCATCTGTAGCAACCAGAGCCCATCTCAGTCCTGCAGGGAGTCGCTTTGTAAACGCAGTTTTCCTGCCAACGAAGTTTGTTTGCTTGGTGATAAGAAACAATGGTCAACTGGATGTGCTACTTAAGCATTTTAGTGCTTGAGAAGAGGAATCTAGATTTGTGCTAAACCTATTTTCTTAGTCAAATGCCGGCTTGGCAGCCTATCTGGAAAGCTGGTAGCACCGTGGCAGAGTGATTATGAGGATTGTTTTCAGCAGTCTCTGGTAAGTCTGCTTTTAAGAAAGTTCTTTCGTTAAGGAAAACACAGTTCTTATCTTCGGGATTGGAAAGACTGCATGAGAAAAAGGCACGGGCATTGCTGGGTGCTCAGGGTCGTACTTTTCAAGGTGCCTGAAAAGCAGTGATGGTTTTGGCTTTGAGAAAGACTACTGTTCATCCACTAGAGTGATATTAGCTGCAATTAACTGATATTCCAGTTATGTATGAAGGACTCCATTTTTGTTCTGCTAAGGAAAGCATAGTTATATTGGTTTAAGTTTGTTTATTCCATTTCCTACATCTGGGGGTCGTTGTACTCTAATACAGGCTCTTTTTCTTATGGTAGCAAGACGTGCTTGCAGTGGGACGGCACGATTGGTGTGTGACCTCGCCCAGGCCTGAAGTTGTGCCCTCACTGTGTGCTGTGCCTTGGGGTGAAGCCAGATGGTGTCTGACACTGGGTGAGCAGACTTCCAGAGACAACGCACTCTAGGTTCCATCCTTTTTTACTGGTGTTTCAAACAAGTTATTCCTGTACTCTGCAGAAAGCCTCACGACCACAAAACCAGCAATAATTGTGTAAATGATAAGCTTGTCTTCCTCCTCCTTTATCCAGATATTCTGAGTGCGACAGACAGCAGAGATGTGCATTGCTGGAATCCAGAGAGTTTCATAATGTGGCAGTCGCTTGCTGTGAATGCCACTGCATAAATAAGACAACATTTATTTTAAGTACTGAGAAACATTCTAAGTAGAAGAAAAAAGTGTTCAGGTGAAGCCAGTCCCATTTGTTTACAAGTCTTGGTTTTGTTCTTCATACATATTAATGCTTTTCATTTGTATTCTGATTTTTTGAACCTTTCAAGTTCATGCTTTCCTTCTTTTTTTTCTTTCTTTTTTTTTTCCTTTTCGTGCAACAAGAAAGTCTGGATTGAGACCTTACTTTAAAAAGGAAAATCTGGTTGAACGTCCTGTATAACCATGCAACTCCAGACAAAGGGTGTTTAAAAAATACACTTTGAGAAAATTGCTCATCTTGAGAGCAGTTTTCAGCTCTGAGTTTAAGTAATTTAAGTAAATACTTCGTTGACAGTTTAAGAAGCTTCTAACAACACCTATCTCTGTTTGCTTTTCAGGGAGGTCTCTCTTCTACTCTTCTGAACATTTAGAGCTTGTTTCACCTCTGTATGTGCTGATGAAGTCAGAAATGTGGTGTACCAGCATGACTAACGTGTGTTGAATAATGCATACAGATGCTTTCAGAAATGCATGCACAGATTTCATGCAGTTGTTCCCTTAAGCTGCTGAGCAGTAGGGGGGGTGCAGAGCCGTCCTCAGGGCAGCAGGAGGAGATGGGTTGGCATCCAGGGAGGAGCAGAAAACCTCTGTGATTCCCTGAGGAAATCATAAATGCCTTCAAGGCCTTAAGCTTCGTAGCCTGGTGTTTAACCCTGTGCTTGTTGTTGGAATGCTGTTAACATATAAGTGATTTCTTCTAGTTCAGGCTGCTGAATATACTCATTTTAAATTCATTGTTGTTTGTTGCAGTGCTGTTCTCAAGCTGTACACATCAAGACAAGGAGGAGACATCCTTCCTCAGCTCAAAGATTCTGTCTCTCCCTGCTATGGATGCAAGTACGAGCGCCTGGCCATACGTTCCCCAGGGTGCAGACAGCTTTCTGACCAGCTGCTCTCCCTGTTCTATCCCTAGCAGTAACATCCAGGGAAAGCAGAGGCCACTGCTCTCCTGTGGCTGTGTAAGAGCCCCGTTCTGGGCTCGCAGGCTAGGTGCTCCAGAATGGCGTTTCTAGGAGGTTGCTGCTCCACTTGTGTGGTTTCAATCGCTTAAGTCTTTGGCCTTGTGCCTTGAAGTGCCAGCAGAGACATGCTGTAATTGCCCGTAAACGCACCTTCTGTCATATCATTGTTTAATTATTCCAGCTTCTCACTGCCACGCACTGCTTACTGTCTCTCCTGCTATCTTTATTTAATTGAGTGGAAAAAGTCTGAGACTTGTGCTTCACTCACGTCGCTTTGTATTTATCCAGCATCACTGGATCCTGCTTTGAAGTGCCGGCTTTTGTATGCAGAAGTCGGTCTTCTATACAGAAAAAATAATGTCTATGTCAAAAGCGTGTGTTAGAAATAGAATCAATATTTTAACATATGGTAAACTCTGGCCATAAAGCTCTTAACACAGTCAAATGATTGTATTATTATCCTTTGAAACTTGGCTCTGCCCCTGAGAAACAAGGAAGGGAAAGAAAACTCGAATAACCAAGCCCTTGTCCTCACAGTGCAGGACTGTTCTCAGTCTGTCGCTTTGTCTGTGCCACTTCTTCCTTTTCTGTCTCCCAGCTCTGTTTTCTTCCACATTGAATGCATTCAGCTCCAGGAGCCTTCTTTCCTCAGCCCATCCCTATGGATCTGTTTTAGGGCAGTACCAGATGTCAGTTCAGTCCCAAGATTCACCCTGCAACATCCCCATGGGAGTTCCAGCACCGTTTCAGACAGCTCTAAAGCTTCTATACCAAGCCTTGCAACTAACCAAATATTAATGTGTAGAAAAAAATAATCTGAGATCTCTCCAATGCTCCCCTTGTCTGTATGGCCTGTAAAAGACGTGGCAGCTTGTTGGCTGCTTTTCTTTCCTCCCCTTCCCTGTGTCAGTGACAAATGCACATTGTTTTTCTGGTCTTCAGTTCAGCTTTCAGTCTCTGAGCCAGAAAAACGCTTTGTGCAGCACCTAGCACACCAGATCAGTATCAAGGCAGCTGTGTGCTCCTACACCAACACGAAATACTAGGGTTGCTGGCACTCACTCTGGCCTAGTTTGCCTCTCTCCTGGCAGGAGTTTGATGACGTCCTCCTGGAAGATCACTGTCCATCTGAACAGATCTAGCTTTCAGGATCCTATTTTATTTCTTCATAAATTGTCAACTGAGATTTTCATTTGCAGGTGTGCTCCTTATAGTGTTCGGCTCCTTGACTGAGCCAGCATCATTTTTGGGGTTGTACTTTCCGGCTTCCCATAACTGTAAGATTATTCATTTCATACTATTTTCTGATTTATTTTTCATCCATCTCTTTCCTGCTGGAAAGAGCAATTTATATAATGATTTCACTGTGGAATTGACTTCAAGCTTTACTGCTATTTGTCACCATTCAGGAAATCCATCCCTGGCTCCAGAAGAACACTCGGTCCCTGTCGACAGTCTGAAAGAGGGAGAGAAAATAGATAGCAGAGCTGCAGCTATTAAGACCAACAGGCACATATTTTATTCCAACTCAGTTTTCCATTCCCAAATGCCTTTTGAAGAAAATCTTTTTTGTTTGAGAGAACATGAAGGAAGGTTGTGGGTACTGGTGAGTTTTTTTGGGGGGATGGAGGGTTGTTTTGGTGGTGACGGTTTGTTGTCGATGTTGTTTCATAGGGACTGTCCTGTTCTTGCTCATCTCCATCTTCCACTTTTCAGGCAGCAGGCTCACAACAGGGACAGGATGTCATCTAAGGAAAGCTGCTGCTGCTTCTGGCCTTGGTTAACCTGTTGGTGATGGTGCTTGCCTGGGCATGGGGCAACTGGCTTTTCACACAGCTCAGCATGGACGTGTTGCCACTCCCAGTAATTTTTAGGACACAGTCGAGTTGTTTTTCCTGAGATTACTGTACCCATTAATCTTAAGAAAAACATGTAATAAAACTGTTCAGCCTTCCTGGGGCCACCACTCCCAGAGACCTTTCCCCCTTTTGGCTTCTGCAGTAGCTTCTTTCCTTTGGCTTTGCAGCTTTATCAGCTAGAAATGATAAACTACAGAATTGGTTGGCTTCAGGCTCTCTTTTTTGCAGGATAGGCTATGCTTGTGCCTATTGAGGAATGGAAGATCATAAAGGACGAGGGGGAGATGGAAGGCTGCTCCCTCTTGTACACAGTGCAGGGGCAGGATACAGCTTTTTATGAAGTTCAGCAAAGAAAAACTTGGGCTGCACACCGTGCCATACCAGTCAGCCTGGTACTAATGTTCCTGGACCTTTGAAGGCAAGAAACGACATGCAGTGTGAACGAAATCTAAGCCTTGCTGCACCAGAGCACTGGTGCCAGCCAACTTTAGAAGTCTGATGTGAGAGTCAGGTGGAGCAGGTAGCATGGCAGGAGATGCCATGTATCACCTGCAGGCATGTAGATCTGCAGTGCTGCTACGGCATCCAAGTCCAACCGCAATGTGTGGCATGCAAGAAGCTGGTGAACCCATGGCCACATTTGACTTGAATGCACTTTCCTTGGGAGGAAGTGGCTTTTCCCTTGAATAGCTCAATTCCCCAGGGTCCCTGGGGAGGTCAGGGGAAAAGTGATTTCATCAGAATATGTTCCAGAATGCCTTGACAAACTCTTATCATCTTGACTATGGAGTCAAACTTAGGCAAACTTAACCTCTGTAGTTTTAAAGCCACTTTTGTGAGTACCAAACTCCTCCTCCTCCTTGCTTTGAGAGTTATGCTGTCCCTGGTAGGCGCATTGCTTACTGTGGTTGAGGTGCTGCAGACCCAAGCCGAGAGAAGCTTGTCTACCAGTGCACAGCGTGTCCTTTTGCATCCTGCTCCATCCTTTTGGCTTCTCCTGGAATAGGTTAGCAGGTACCAGAGAAATGAAATGAGTCAGGAAATGTTGGTTTCTTTCTGGATAGCCTGACTGGGCTGAAATAATCAGCATCTGTTTCAGTTTAAATGAGTTTTCATTCCAGCCTTATTCCCTTTTCAAAGTACAGAAAACCGAAGCCTTTAATTTGCCCTGTCTTTTACTGTAGAGAAAATTAGAAGTTTCTGTCAGCTGATACTATCCCACCTAGAAAATCTATGCTAAAATAAAATACAATGTATTGTCTATTATGAATGAAAAAGCTCTTGCTGGTTTCTCTCATTTGTAGTGTTAACTTTGAAAGATAAATTGTTTGAACTGGTTGGCTCTCCGATTGTGTAACTGAAGATCAGCTTGCTTGGTAGCCTGATGGATCTGCAGTTTCCCCTTGCACTAAATAAGCTGCAGAACTGCCAGCCCTGGGGCAGTTAGGACACAGCATATACTTGAAAAAAATTGTCACTTTTACTAGTAAATCAGAGAAAATAATCTCATGCATGACATCCTGGATGCTTCAGGATTGATCCATTTGGAACACCTCCTGTAGGACCTAGAATGTGTGTCTGAAACTCACAAACATACATAACTGCTAATGAGTTTAAAGTTGAAGATGGCAGGCCCAGAACTGTTTTACGTGGAAGTTTTGCAACCCTAAACCATGAAGCTTGGTTTTGAGGACATGGGCATGTGGAACAAACTCCATCCTTTTTTTCTTATGTGTTTGCTTTGTAGAACCAACAGCAAGAAAAAGTAGAAAGAATTCCTTGTCTCTCAATTGAGCAGACCTGACTGAGCACAGAGAAGGAACAGAGTAAAAAATAGTAACATCTTGCTGCACTGTAGTCCCTCAGCAGAGAACCACATTTTGAGGTTCCCCTTCTTTGTGTCTTTTGTATTGCAACAGAAGCTTTCGCTCTGGTGGGCAGTCTTTCTCTTCAGTGTGGTGGATCTTGTTGGCCATTCTGTCCCAGTGCTGGTTCCTAGGAATTGCCAGTGGTTCTGGATGTGTATGTTCATTCCCCCAGGTACATTTTCTGTGCCTCATATTCTCCCTCTCTCCCCATTTAGGCTGTGCCAGCTCTTCCAGCCTCCCCACTTTCTGCATACCTGTGACCATGGCTGTACAGCCAGGATTACATCTAAGGTGAAGACAGAAAAACCATGATGAAGGCTTATGCTATTTTCATGATGGATATGATGCTCACAAAAATGAAAAGGTGACTGTCGTGCCATCAGCCTTCAAAGCTTTCTTCTTTCCCACAGAACAAATGAACATGCTGCAACCCTTGGCTGAGAGACTGAGGCCAAGTTTGTCATAAACTGACAATTCAGGAAAAGGAGAAAGAATAGAATAGGATGGGAAGGTCAGGGCAGAGTGAGGTGTAGATGAAAGAATGGTAGAAACTTAAACTGAGAATTTGGAGGTTTGAGATGAGATGGAGGGAGGCTGAGATTCACAAAGAAAGCGTAATCAGGAATTAGAGGAGTTTTATGCTGAGATCATCTGTGCAAGGAACCAGTAGCAGGGGAGGGACAGCAGTCAGCAGAATTGTTTGTCAGTGCAGAGAAAGTCACAGGGGATAGGAAGTTAGAAGAACTGGACAAAGGAGACTGAATGAAGAGTTGGCATAGGGAACTGGAGCTGGAAGCACTGTTGGATGCTAAGAAAGGAGAGGCAGGTGGTGGACATCTGAAGGTGTCAGCTGGGCATAGGCAGAGGGGAAGGGAGAGGAGTAGTGGGGAGAGCTGCAGGCTGGGCAGCAGGAAAGGCTGTGAGATGGGGGGATGTGCTGCTGGGCCATCTCTGCTCTCCAGGCTGGCAGCCAAGCAGGGCTTACTCGAGGCTGGCCTTCACTGTGGCTCAGCCAGCAAAGAATTTGCCTCTTGTTGGTCTGCCCCAGACAGCGAGAATTTAGTGCCCTGGGATGAGGCGGCAGCAGCTGCCTGCTGGGGGAGCAGAGGGCTTGCTTGTAGTTAGATAAAAAATAAAATTACAGTTGGGAGGAAGTAGTGAAAAGGCCACATGAACAAGAGAGAAAAGGTCAATTCATCAGTCCGGCAGCCACTAAATTAAGAAAAATTAAATTAATTAATTAAATTTAATTAAATTAAGAAAAGGCAGGTGGGGGCTATAATATCCGAGGTATCTGAATTCAGTCAAAGATGATTCTGAAGTTGCTGGATTGATCTTGTGGTCAGCTTAAGCAAGCTTAACAAATTAATTACAGTATTTTAGTTCATTGTGTAAGAGCTAGCTAATAAATCACGGTGCTTTGTAGAAACATGCTTGAGACAACTGTGTAAATACTATATAGCCTTAGGAATGGTCTTATGAATCCACGGAATAATCCAAATTCCAGCACTCCTCCCCCTCCACTGCTGGTCTAGATACAGGATAACAGTCACTGCTGTCATCTGCTCCTTTTTGAAGCAGGGGGGCAGAGGTCTGTGTCAGACATGAGGAGGTACCAGCAGTGCTGGGGACCCAGGGAAGTGCCGTGATGCTGTGTGATCTGCACCACAACAGTCCTTTTAGGAACATGGGGAATGCTACATGTTTTAAAGGAACATTACTATGGTTGCAAAGTCAGGCATTTAAAAGTTAGGCAATGCTCAAATGAAATGCCTCTGAAACCTTAATTCAGTCTGTGTACACATGCAGTTATGAAATGCTTGTTAATTATATTTGCCCTGCTGTTCATTTCAGCATGAATGGCAGTAATTCAAGAGCCTCTCCCAGTTCTATAAGTTTTCCTATAGAAATGGAGGCTGAGCAGCCTTTGACTTGCTGTCTTACAGAGAGGTACTCAGAGGTAAATACTATGAGATTCAAAATACGGGCCAGCTGGTGTGATCTAATGCTAAGGGACAAACACTGCTTAGGATGCTGATCTCCCTTACTCGTCTTTTCTCCTGGCTCAGGTCTGTGTCAGTGAAGATTTGGGAAGAAATGGTGCTGCTAGGGGCTGAAATTGAGCCGGAGCTCAGCTACCCGACATCCCGTGGGTGGATATAAAATTAACTACTCAATTTGTGCAGATTAAAAACAAATCTTGCGTGTATGAACTCTGCCTTTGCAGAAATGTCTGTTAGTTTTGATTGTTGGCACAAGCGTTACTGTAGTATCGGTCTAATCTCATAGTACATATTTAAGGAATTGCAGCAGAAGGGTGGAGCTAACAGTGTACATTTGCTGGCTGATTCCCTGCTGGCTGACCGTTGTCCTGCCACGCTTCATTTCAGATTTTCAGTTTTACGTTTCACCTGTTTTCGGCCCTGTGCCCCATGATACAGAAGAGCCAATCCTGCTTCTAACACTGTCCAGCATTTATTAATAAAAGAGCGTGCAAGCATATTGAACTGAGAAGCGAGCCGAGGGGAGCGGGCAGACCGCAGGTAAGCCGGGTGCACAGCCCTGCTGAGCCCGGGCAGGCCGGGCCCGTGTGCTGCGGACACGGCGCCGGCGGGAGCTCCGCTGCTCTGGTCCCGCAGGGAGAACACGGCAGGAGCTCCCCGGGACGCGAAGCCTCCTCGAGAACGGGAACGCTCCGTGAGGCACCGGGCCGCCAAGGGGCGCGGTTCAAGGAGTCACCGCCCGGCCGCGCCCCGGACGGCCGCCAGCGCCTCAGCGTCTCCAGGGGCGACGGGGCCACTTCCGCCCGCGGCCAAGATGGCGGCGGCGTCGCGACCCGGAAGTAGATGGCCACCCCGTGCCTCGGCGGGCCCGCCTCCACGGTGCCGCGGGAGGGCCGTGGGCGGGGAGTCCCGTGACGGCTCGGTGCGCACAGACGGTGGCCGGCAGGGGCGGCCGGGTCGGGCGGGGAGGGGGGGGCCGAGTGAGCGAGCCAGCCAGCCAGCCAGCCAGCCAGCCAGCAGCAGGAGGATGGCGGAGCCGCACGGTAGGCGGGCGGCGGGGCCGGGGCCGGGGCTCTGGCGGCGGGGCCGCGGGGCTGCGCCGAGGCGGTGGCGGCTGACAGCGGGCGGGGCGGGCCTGGCGGCGGGAGGCCGCGGGCACAAAGGCGGGGAGGGAGGGCCGGGCGGCGGGTACCGCGCCGGGCGGGGGTGGGGGCGGGCAACCTGGGGGTGCTGGGCAGGGGGTGCTGAGCAGCGACGTGCCGCCGAGTGGTGGCATCGCCCCAAAGGCGGCATAAAAAGAAGAAAGAAAGGAGGAAGCCGAGCTCCGCAGCTTCACCTCTGCTCCCGCCCGGTACCGGGGGCTGCGGGCTGGGAGGAACTCGGGGCGTCGGGCCGGGTGCCGCCCCAGGACGGGCGCGGGGTTCTCCTCGTGCTTCACGCGCTCGGCTGTTGCTCGTGGCGGCTCCGGCCGGCCGGCGTCCCTCTGAAATCCTCGCCCTCCCGTCTGGCCGGGCGGCGCGCACAGCGTACCACGTACGGCTGGCACCGAGGGCGCGCCGACGGCTTTTCGCGGCGTTCGGAGCGCGTTTTCGCCCGGCGGTTCTGTGCGAAGCGGACGCGGAACTGCGGGAGCCCTGGGGAAGGCGGAGGGCCGTGTCAGCGCCCGGCGGTGCGGAGATCCGCTGGGCTGAAGTTCCGCGAAGTGCTGCTGATGGAGCAGTAGGTGTGGGAATGAAACGAAAATCGCGGCGTGTGACAAAGCCGTTACCGAGTGCTGGAGTGTCAGTAGTGATTTTTGATGGATGTGTTTGGGATGGGGCTGTGGAATCTCTACGTGCTGTGCAGCGTGCACATGTGCGTACACAAAGGCACTTCTGAGGCAGAGCGTTGTTGATAAGGAGTTGTGATTATGTGTGGTGTCATTGCTGCGGCACTCAGTCTTCGTTTTTGGACTGTTGCCTTTAATAATTAGAATCAGGCTCTCGGTTTTCTCCTGTCTGCTTGTTTTCACGTTTGACTTTCTACTTATTGTTTTCCTTTTTGCCTTCTGAACTGTTTTCTTTTAAATCACTAAGCATTATTGGGTGCTTCTATTTATAAAATTGAGGGCTTAAAGTAGGAAGTGTTCAAATTAAGTAACGCTTATTTACAGCCATATCTCAGACATATGTTGTATGGTGATCTCGATATAATCCTAGGCTGGTTTTGGGGAAGATTTGCTGTATCCTATGAATTTATTAATATGCTGTTGTGCATACATTCTTAGTAGCACCCTTATCCTCTTAGTCCCTTTTGAATGATTTGAGCTTGACTATTTTGGTTTTCTGTGCGATTATTCTTTGTTCTGGGTAAGGAGGGTGGAAGGCTATTTTCGTAAGGTGAGGCTGGATACCTTTTAATTTTAGGCTAATATTTGCCGGCCATCAGCACTTGTGTACATGTGGCAAGGCAAAACGTGTACATCAGGCAGAACTAATTTGTTATCTAACCTTGTAGCACAGCATGATGCTTCCAGACAAAGCTCTCCTTGTACCCGCAGCCTTTGAGGAACACATCCCCAGTGAGGATGCTGCCTTCTGCCATGTCCCTCTTCTGCTCTTTCTGGAAACACAGAGCAATCCTGGGGCGATGTAGGCAGAGTCAGCTGGGAGCTTTCCTTCCCCGTGTGCCACGTCTCTGGTGGGAGATGCAGGAGGGGACGTTCTTTGTTGTGTGACACTGAGATCGCCCTGACTGTGCGTTCTGCTCAAGGAATTGTGTGTGGCACGGGGCATTCCTTCAGCCTGTGGATGTTTTCTCTTTACGTGCTCTTAGCTTGCAAACAGAAATGATTTTCTCAGAAGATTCCTGTGTGTGTTCCTTTTAGGAAAGCCTTGGATTCATTGTTTCTTGGCTGTGGCTTTCTAGAAATGTGTGTTTCTGCATGGTGATTGTTGCTTATCGCCGTGGCCAGCTGCTCCCAGTGCCGTGTAATGCCAGTGAAATAGGTGGATGCATGTGCTTGGATGCATATGTAATGCTCGTGCATGTTAATTGTGTAAAAGTATCCTCTGTTTGTTCTGCTGCGAGGGATCGGAGTGATCTGTGCTTGACAAGACTGAGGAAGCTGTGCAAATAACTGCACTCCCTTTTGGGAGGATTTTGCTGGGTGATAAGGAGATGAAACTGAACGAAACGATTTCACATGTTTCCATCGCATGGCTGTACGGAATTTGGGTAGGTGCTAAACACGAGCCACTTTTTTCTTCCAGTGATGTCTGAAGAGGAAAACTCCTATATTGCAGTGTGGATGGAGGACTGGATCTGCCTCGCCCCGCTCTGCCCTGCAGCTCACCCTCAGCTCAGGCACTGTGCTCTGCTCCTGGGCCCAGCTCTGCCTCCAGCACTCGGGGATCACTGTGAGCTCCCCAGTGGGCTTCAGGTGGGCTGAAGTTCCACCAGTGAGGGCTGGTGCTCAGGCAGCCCCCAGCCCATGGCTAGCCCCACTGCTCAGCTTTCCCTTCCACTCACAGTGCTCTGAGGCTCATTCCTTCCTTTTTATTGTGCACACACACACATATATATATTTATGGCAGAGGTTTTTGGATACTCATTTATTGGAATTGCTTCGTGCTCCCCTCTGTTGCTGTAATATCTTGTGTTTATTTGTATTGAATGCAGCTCTGCATATTGGCAGAGATATTTCTGCCTTTTTTTTTTTCCTGGTGGGTTTGTTTGTGTGAGAGAGGGCTGGGGAGGACACAGCAGTGAAGATTAAGCAGCCAGTTGTAGCTAGATTGTGGAGATAAGAAGAGCCCTTGTTTACACTAAAATCCCACTGCTGACATATTTTAGTTTGCTTGATACAGTAGTTCTGGTATGTTACAAAACCCACCCAGATAAAACGTATAGCAAGAAGGTAATGTTTGCAGTATTAGCCATTGACCTTAATTTGCTTGGCTTTTGTTTTTACTGCATTGCTTGGGCTTGACTGTATTGTGAAATGCAAATAATGTGCTATTAAATCTGAGCGTTGCCTGACACAAAGTTTTGTTCAGTAAAGGCAGTTTGGGTGCAGTGAAACAACGATCCCCTGGTAAAAAGGGGACTTTAATTACTACAAATTTTTCTATCCTTAACCTCTAGGTAATGGATATGCTTTGTAATTGTGCAGTGTTGATTTGTTTTTAAATAGTTCAGTAGCACGTGGTTGATGTTGGCATGTTTTAGGCTCTGTGCAGCTGAAGCCCTGGGTCTGTGTTGCTGTACAGGAGAAATACGGAGTGTGACAGAGCTGATGGTGGCCATGCAGATAGTGGTATGGTGAGGGGCTGCGGGTTGGTGCAGGCACACGCTGCTGTGAGTGGCCAGAGAACTTCTTAAACCAACCTGACACGTGTTTGTACTTGGTTCTGTTAGTGTTGCTTTGCTGTTGAGGTGGACGTATGAAATAAACCAAGAGGACTTGAGGGACTTGAGCATAACGGTTTGCTTTTTGGCTTCCTTCTGAAAGGATGTCTGTGTCTGAGTGGATGTACACGAGAGCCTGATTCCCTTATTGTTACACAAATGATGGTGTAGGAAAGCACGCAGCTATGGCCTGTGTGTGTGTGTGTGTGCTCGCAGATAGCTGTGCTCCTGCTTACCTTCCCGTGCTCAACTTCCACGTGCCCTCCTGCATTACCAGGTTGTGTGTAGGAGCGAGACGGAGGGCTGCAGAAGGCACCATTTCCACGGAGCCCGGCGATGCCGTAGATGCTGTATCCGGACCTGCCTCCCCCGTGGTCGGAGGCTTTGTGTTAGGCATGCATCCTAATTGTTCTTCTGTTGGCGTTGTGCTGCGCTGAAGGGCTGGGCACCAATGCAAATGGCCTTTCTAATACCTTCCGTATTTGCATTATAATGGCTGCGTAAATACTGCAGCACGTCTCGGTTCGCTCTCTGCTTTGACTGCTGGAGTTTAAAGCAGGCTCCTTCTGGAGCCTGGATCCTGTTCGTGGCTGGGATTGTTTTGCAGAGAGGTTCTGAAGCTCATCTTTCCTAAATGCCGAAATGCGTTTGGGATGCGATGCGGTTTTCACTTGCTGGTGTTCTGGTCTCCCACTCCTGCAGCCCGCAGGCTGGGACAGGCACTGGGAGGCAAAAACCCACCACCAACAAAGCGTAACCTCGAGCAGTTGGGCCACTTTTCACCAACTATTCCTAAACGGACTGTATTTGGGGTTACAAAG